TTCAACAATTGGATTTTCATCCAATTTATTCGAGTTTATTTCAGTAGACTAATTATTCTTGGAATTAACAAAATATCTCTTCGGCTCAATGAAATTCTTTTTCTCGGTTCACGTGATCCTCCGTCCAATTTTTTGTGCAATTCTTCCCTCCACTTGCAAATCGAAGAAACTAAAGGTTAGGAATTACAATCACAATCTCTTAGAAACCCACCGTAGAACGGCGTATCTTTGATCGTCCACCGCCGAATAGCAACATTAATCATAATTATCTGTCGATGCGCGGGAAAATATTTATCGCTAATATACGGATGAAAGGAAAGTTAAACATTAAAACTCCGAGAAAAATCGGCGCCGAAGGTTTCCAACGCCAGCCGATACTTTCCACTAATCCTTGTATCAGACTCTTATTAGGAGAATAACAACACTCATCCTGGATTTGTCAATTCATATTTACTCACGCAGATGGTCTAGATAATAAAAAGTTTGGGGGGAAGATTTAAAGTAGAAAAATGATAATTTGAGAGGTACGAAAGGAACCCCTGTAATTTTGGCTCGTCGGATTTGCGTAATCGGATTTCTATACAATATAAACTTCCTCTACCCTGAGGAAAAAATGTCATTAAACCAGAGAAACAATTCTTTGACTGGTACTAAGGAAATATTTCGTTAATTCAATGAATTATTTTTTAACTTATTTCAGCTCATTTCAGTGAAATAATTATTCTTTGAATTAAGATAATATATCCTTGCTGCTATTCAAGGAAAAATTTCTTTGGCTCGATGAATCCTTTTTCCTCGGTGTACATTTCCCTCGTCTCTATTCCTAGAGTCGGAAATAAAAATAGTAAGTATACAAAAAAATGGTTTATGCACGAAGGTGTTGGATGGTCTGGCCAATCGCACCTGAAAGTAGAACAGCCTTCAGGTCGATTGGTTAGGTCTGTCGACTTGCGACATCGGACCGTTGTAGAACGGCCATACTTGTGCTACTCCTCGTCCCTCGACCCCTTCCGGTGAGGACGATCCTTCGAGACGAGGTCGAGGTCTGTCGAGGGTAATCGGTGATCTCCTGCAGGTAATGCTTCTAGGATTCTGCTCCGCAAGATCGGATCGAGAGGAGCTATCAGCTTTCGCGTTGACTCGCCGAGTGGCGTGCTCGTGATGCGGTTCGATCACTCTCGGGAATACCGACAGTTAAAATAATCTCGCGAATCTAGCAAAGAATGGAAAGTTGAGGATGATTAATAATATCTAACATTAAAATAAAATTAAAAGATGAAAATAAAATGATGTCAGTAAAAATGATTCGTACGAAACAAATTATCGCCACTAAACCACGCCTAGGACAGACTCACATTGATCCCATTAAATTATGTATAATGAAACGAAAAAAAAAAAAATCAGGAAAAATTATTACTAATCCCAAGCATCATCGCCAATAATAAAAGTAGCGGCAGTAAAATATTAAGCCCGTATTAGCCCGAAAAATGATGGCCCGTAAAAAGAATGTCTCCATACGAAAATTGGAGGGGTATAAAATTTACAGATTTCGGTCGAAAAATGCGATCTGGTCGATTTATCTGTTACATAGTCGACCCGGAAAAGGGACGCTAAGAGATACTTCTTGCAGATGTGGATTGCAGAAGAGGAGATTTTCGTGATATTCTGTCAGAGCGGAGAATGCAGTTCGAGCGGCACGTAACGTGGCCTTCTACAATAGTCGGTCTCTCATGACGCGGAACGGCGCCTCGCGTTTCCGCCGGCACTTTCGATTTTTTTCCTCCCTTTTTCTCTCGAAACGCGATTTCAGCGCAAGGAGGGGACCCCGGGTAGGGGGCTTTCGGAATCCCAGCGAAAACGCCCGGGGAATTATTTATGAAATTTCTGTTTCTACGGGGGAATCTCTCGGCCGATGTGCACTTTCCATTTCCTACTCCGGTCGGCCGGTCGGCCATTTCTCGGCCGAGCGAGTTAACTCGAAACACTTCTAAGCCTACTTCTAATAAAAACATTTAAAAAAGTAACAAAACCGACTTCAGAAACATGTACCTCAAACGAGACATACAATGTATGTTCATATCGAATTGTGACCCTCCTTTTTTTTAGAAGTTGGTTAAAAATCACCAGCACCGTTTCGAGCCCGAACTGCGCACGAAATATAAATAAATAAATGCATATGGCCTTTCGGTATTTTTAGCCGCCAGACAAGGCGCCAATATACTCCTCACAAATCAATCACCATTTTTTCCCGACACTCCTCGCACGGTATTCAACCCAGCTCAATGAGAAGACCAGTCATTGTCAGTGAGAAATGGTCCCGAGGTGGAAATTCCTCACAGGATGGTCGATAAGACTCATGATATATGGGAATACGTTTAACCTGGCGAACCGCGAGTTTTCAGGTTATTGGTCGAGCTCGTAAACCCGTCCTGTAATTACATAAATATATTTATAATATCTTAACCATGACATGACAGGGCTGAATAGGCTTGAAAGCGCTCAAGAACGAACTCGTTTTTCTGGGCTCGAAAAGATTCATTCAAAACTTTACCTGATTACGCACATTATTCGAACAATTATTTTGCGACTCGGCAAATATAAACAGATACATTAATATATTTGTCATGTTTTAATCAAGACACGCGAGGACCGGCAAGGTTCAAAGGCGCTCCAGAATGCACTAGTTTTTCTGTACTGGGAAAAAATTCCCTAGAAATTTTATGCGACTATTTCGCGACTTGGCAAACATATATATAGATATCCAGTGAGATGCCAATGTGTCTTTAAATTGCGTCAGTGAATTTTAATGAGTCGATATCTACGGAAAGTGCGACCGATTAACGCTCTCGAAGGAGCTCCTATAGCGGGGCATAAAGGAGGCCGAACGAAACCGGAAGGAGAGAAGTATGGAAAAAGATTGGGTTATATACCAAACGTGTAAACAAACCGTAGTGAAAGGCTCGATCGCGTCACGTTCGAGCGAATCGTGTGCACGCAAAATAAGCTCCACGTAGCAGAAATCGAGGCACGAGCCGATCCGTTCCGATCTAGTCGATCTAGAATAGATCTCGATCCTCCCGGAAATGCGATTTGCCCGTGAAAATCGCGCTCCGTACAAAAACCCCAAAGAAGTAAATAAATAAAAATTAAATATGAAGACAAAATGTCATAATGATCCCTCCTCTCCCGAATAAAATATATAAACTACAATTTTCTCATTTAAGAGGCTGAAATAATTCCAGGAATTTCTATTATAACTACGATTAATTGTATATATTTTATTATTTATTCATTTTCTCACGAAGATTGGATCAATTGTAAGGCCTATTTTTTAATTGACATGCGATTTATAGGACGGGTAACTTGATTTACAGGTAATTAGTTACATGAATGGACGAAACGAAGGCTCGATAGAGACGTGATTAAAATGGAAAGAACTGGCACTGAAATGTCCGAATTAATTGTCAAACTTGTCGTTTAGTCGACTGCCGATTAATAGGAAGTGTAACTTGATTTAGAGTTAATTAGTGACGTCCATGAATGGACGAAACGAAAGCTCGATGGAGCCGTGATTAATTCAGGAATTTAATTGGAATTCGCCGAAAGGTCAGGGGACACGGGAAGTGTCCGATTCCGCGTATCTTTCGGGAAGGTGGAGGAACATTTTCGATTTAATCTAGCCGGAGAGTAATTAGCATCTTCGGCCGTGTTGGATAAGCCCGGAGAAAGCCGCGACGACTTCTGTGCCTTCTTCCGCCTGCGTTGCACTGCTTGGCCACTTCTGCAAATAATTGAAACATAATAAAACATTAATTCCATTTTCTTCCACGGTTGTCGGGAGTACTTTGTCGGGTTTATTTATACAAGAGGCATTACAAAATATGCATTACAAACGAGGGATGATTTTTATAGCACGGTTCAACTTGCATTAGAAAATGGCGATGATTTTTATGGTACAGTTGTACGTACTTCATAAAATGTGGATGGGCTTTATAATGCTGTTTTATATGCATTATATAATATGGATAATTTTTATAATACAGTTACACATGCATTACGCGAACGAAAAGCGATGTAACCGAATGGGTTATCGCGCACGTTCGCCATTCCACTCGATAAATTATCACCTGGCAGATTTTCCTTTTCCATCGGTAACCTAAGTGCCCACTTTCTCGGGAACGTACGAATGTAGAGCTGAATTGTTCGGGCCACTTCGCCGAGAAAGACAGTAATATAAATGGAGCACGCATATTCTGCAAACGACCGGGTGCGATTCAAAGGCAACTGACGCCGCTATGTACCTCCTCCTTAATATAATTCAGCCCAATAAATTATCACCTCTCCCGGCATATTTCACTTTCCCAGTAATGATTAAGTGACGTGTTTCTCGAGAATGTGTAGGAAGTAGCTTAAGGCTGCGAAACGGTTCGACCACGGCTAATTTACGTTGGCGAATAAAATCTAGCTGAAAGGTTTTCGAGAAATATTCAAGGAAAATGGCGTAGCAACCAGACGAATATTTCAAGTAAAATATAAGAGCAAACTTAACGTGACGGCACGGATGATAAAGACGATATAAAGGTAATATTAGTACGGAAGCAGACTATTACACTGAGGAAAAAAATTCATTGAACCAAAGAAATGTTCCTTTGAATAGTACCAAAGAATTCAATATTTCACTCAAATAAATTGTCATAATTCCGAATAAATGTTCGACTTTGAGTCAAATAATTATTCCTTGAATAAATAAATGATGTCTTTGGTTCATTGACATTTTTTTTCTCTATGTACAACTGCGGTCGAAGTCACTGTACGAAAATATACGAGAAACAAAATGGCGACGTACCGATTTCTTGGAATAATGGCGAATATCAACTCACAAAATGAAGAAAATTAATTGAAATAAAAATGTCACGCTTTGGAGTTTATTTAAAATTTTATATATGAGTGGTTAGAATTTTTATTGTCGATGTACTGATGCATTTCATTTTTAATTTCAGTTACCATCTGGCTCCTCGATCTGCACTATGGCTTCTTGGTGTGCAGCGCCGGGGACCCTGGCGTAAGAGCGATGAATAATTAATAATTAATGATTAATGATAATTAATTGGGGGGGGATTTTTGACGTTACTCTTCTGACTTTTTTCTCAGTATCTGGACTTCGACAACCTGCCGGAGACGAACTTTTCCTGCCAAGGAAAAGTGATCGGTGGCTACTATGCAGATGTGGAGACTGGCTGTCAGATGTTTCACGTCTGCACCATCGGGCAGAAAGGTAATCCGCTCGTAAAGCTCCCCAATGGCCACTAAACTTCCGTCGCCTCTTTTCAACCACTTCATTCATAAGTATGAGCTTTGCCAACGAGGAAAACTGCGAAATTAACGAGTCCCGGGGAATCCACTGAACACCTTTGCGGTTTTCCTGTTCCCCGACCGTGACTGCACTGAGAAAAAAAGATTAGTTGACCGAAACAAATATGTATTGCCGCCTTAATCATAAATACTTGCAAGGAACAATTATTTTATGAAAATCGAAAATCAATTATTTCATGAAAATCGAAAGAAAATCGATGTTGATCTAAATGAATTTTTCAGTCAACCTGACATTTCCTTTGACGCGCTGGATCGCAGAATTTTGTTGTCGCAATGCAAATTTCTTTGAATCGACAAATTTTTTTTCTCAGTGTATCCATGTCGGGAAGGACCAAGTCAAAGGACTTATTATACCTCGAACTGGATCTAGGATTATTTACCGGCGACTTCCGCTACAAAGCCTACCGTATGAATAATTAGCGGTTACCTGCTTACTGCCACTTTCATTTTTTACGGTAGAGTGGTAGAATAAAAAAAAAAGGTTTCCCGGAATAGAAAAGTGGTCTCGGAAGCGGATCTAATCCTTCGACAGCAGATCAAGGTTATTTTCGACCTTTCACGACGTTGAAAAAAAGGCATGGATGCCATTAAAAAAATCGAGCTGACCTCGGTCCGTAAAAGACAAAGCGTATTGCGCTCGTTCGTTTGCTGCGAATTTCGAGGGCCTGCAATTTGGTACCGGTCCACTTTGTCGGGAAAAATGTGAGAGACTTTTAACATGATAATTAGTACTAATTTGTGCGGTAATGAGGCCGTTTGCGTGCCAATTTGGGCGAGTAAAAATCCGCATGCGAATCGGTGATGGCTCTGGGATAAGATCTCGAGTTAAGGTGAAGTGAAACCCCCTTCAAGTCAGTCGATTCGAATAAGACATTTTTTTTTAACTTTTTAGTATAGAACCCTTTTCGATATATGAGCGAAATTCATCTATGCTAAAACGATGGTAACATGAGGTCTCGGAGAGAAAATTTAGTTGACATTGAAATCATAGATGGCGCAGGGTGGTATTTCGCAACCAATATCACAGATGTCTTTCACTTCACCTTAAATACGAGATACGTATTCATTACGGCGCGACTTCGCCAGGTGAGTCTGGCGACCCGAATTTTAAGAAACTCCCCGAATAACGATGTCTCCTTCATTATGAGACGTGATTTCAGACGAGATAATGGACATTAAGTTCCTGTGCTTGAATGGGACCGTCTTCGACCAAGAGACAAGAGTTTGCGAGCGAGTGGACGAGGTCGACTGTAGCAAGAGCGAGAGATTCTACAACCTGAATCTGGAGCTCTACGGTAACAATGCCGTAACACTCAGGTACACTTTTATTTCCTCATACTCGAAATAAATTACATTGAGAGAAAAAATAATCTACTGAGCCAAAGAAATATTTCGTTAATTCAAAGAATAATTATTTAAATCAAATAAACAGATAAATTGTCTTAGTTCCGAAGAAACTTAGTATCCAAATTATTCGAGTCAAATAATTATTTGTTTAATTAACCAATTATTTCTTTGGTTCAATGACGTCTTTTCTCGGGGTAGAAACGCGGCAAATCTAATTTCTAACTGGTAAAACCGAGTCAAGTATTCGGGTTAACTCGGATCGTTTTTATTTGCAACACTGTTAAAATTATTCATGAAATTCATAGACACGTAGGACAAAGGATTATATTGGATACTAAAATTATAATTATGACGGTTCATACATGAATTCCTGTACATTTATTACGAATTTCTAAGTAACGTTATAATTATCTGAAATTGGATCGAAAAATGAGTACCTTCACGTGCTAAATTCGTAATACGTTATAGGTTATATTTGAAAATGTTGTTAAATTAGTATACCATCTCCGAATAAAACTTAGAAAAAAAAGGGTTATAAATTACAATATTTTTTCAACGGTGTAGACTCGACTCGCTCCGAACGTAATTTGTAAAAATCAAGTTGTCAATATTTTCGAATTCGAGTAACTCGACAAAGTAAATTCGACTAGTCACGTTACCAAGTCGTGTACCCGATGGGAAGGGAAACGCGATACGAGAAAATAGTCTGTAATTGCAGGAGGGGTCGTCGAAAATTGCGCAATGGGCGATAAATTTCAGGAGCGGCGAAGGAGTCTAAATTATTTAGCGCCGAGTAGCACATGTTGCTCGTTATTTGGTTTCTCCCGAGATTACATACAGAATCTCTCCTTACCGAATAATCCTCGCCTTACGTAACGGCCAGTATACACCCGATCGCGGGCTTTCTCTAGTTTTTTCTTTTTTCCCTCCATTGCTCCAAAAACCAACATTGATTTTATATCGGCGGTATTTATCCCCCGGTGAAACGTTAAAAGTGGAGGTGAGCCGGGTTTATGCAGATTTTTCGCCGCAGCCCGCCGGTAGTCGGCGAAGAAACGTTCCTGGTTAATAAAACCCGACTGCCATAGGTTAACGCACTAATTTTCACGTAGGTGTACCCAGCCCATTCCCGTCTGATTTTATCCGACCTCCCAGAACCCGGATCTTGAAGAGCGAGAGTAAAAGACAGTTTTCATATAAGATTAAAGACAATATTCATAAAATTCATAGGTCTGCACTCATACCTCACTCTCAGCGTTCAAGAAATTCCTAGGTCCTGAAAAACAGGGAAAACCAATAGGTAAAATCAGCCCATTCCTGCCTGATTTTATCCGACCCCCCAGAACCCGGATCTCGGAGAGTGAAAGTAAAATAGAACTTTTATCAGACCCTGTTAAAAATGTCAAATGAAATTTCTAAACAAATCTACAATTTCGAACGAAATTTGCGAAAGATGTAGAAAAATTACACTATTTTTTGTTATGTTTAGCTTGCACGACGGTAACGATGCCCATGACGTGGATAGCCAGGACCAGGATCATGTCAAGGGAGAGGATGACGATGACACAATTGATTCCGTGATAAGCCACAGGACGACATCGGCTCGACCAAGCACAACGGCGTCATCGGTGACGGTGACGGCGACGTCGGCGGCGACGACGACGACGTCAAGACCGACGACGACAGCCAGGCCGAGCCAGCCCTCCACGTCGCGTACGATTAGCATCTACCAGAGACCATCAGGATACCCTCAGCATTTCCAGCCCCAGCCATCGTTTCCATCTGTCCAGACGAGTCAATCGAAGTCTCTATATGACGACAAGAACGGCGGTTTTCACCATCGCTACATCTTCCACAACGGGGACGGTCCAGATAACCAGGCGACGTCCTATCAACTGTTCGGAAATCGTGGGGTGGACTCCACAACCGGGTCTCCTCAGCTTCATCATCGGCTCCAATTTGGAGGGAATCCGGTGACCGAGGTGGTAGGAAACGACTCGCCCTCCTGGGTGGCACCGCTCTTCAGGTCGTCCACCGATCAGACTCTTCTAGATGGAGACGATGGGGTCCCTGCTGCCATCAACCCCCTGTTCCAGGATCGCGGGGTCGCCAGCACGACGGAGAGGTACTCTGTACGCAGTAGCAACCCTAGGGACACGTCGATGTACCGTGAAGATGTCGAAGAGGAAGACGAAGACGGGAATGGAGACGACGCAGGTGGAGAACAGGACGGTGGGGATATCGACGATGGTGATGACGGGGACCAGGATGAAGAGCTTGGGAGCCCTGGGGAAAGGAAACCTTTAGAAGTCATTCATTCCACTAATCGGGGCAAGGTGTCAAAGTTGTCGATTTCTCCGGTTCCGTCGTCATCTCCACCGCCCACCAGGCAGGGTATTCCTCAGCAGGACTCTTCGGCATTTTTGGCGAGTCACTCGACGGCTCCTCCGAGTGTCACTGCTTTCTATCCCACTCCGAGGTCGACCAGCAGCAGAAGTGGACCTCACAAGGTGACGCAGCACGTGCACCTGACAGCTACCCCTGCGAACGTGCAGCTTCAGCCTCGCAGGGTGAACCTGGATGGTACTGGGTCGTTGGACATCCAGAGGATTGTGCATCCTCCTCTGCTGCCGTCCCAGTCCAGGGTCATCATCACCGCCAAGGCTAGTGTCAGTGATGAGAATGGCAGACCTTTGAACTCCACCCAGCTCGTCATGCTACCTCTGCCCACTATCCCGGCTACCTATGACGATTACAGGGAAGGTGACGAGTCGTTTGATCCGTTTTATAGAGACGTTCCGAAAATCAGGGACCAAAGGCAAAGAGATCGGCTTGCGGTCAGAGAGGTGGAGGCGGAGGAGAAGGAGATGAAGAAGGTCGTCAGGGCTAAAAGAGAGGGTCCTAGTGATGATGGGGAGTTTGTTCGCCACGGTGAAGATGGGGATCAATTTCAAGCTGTGTCCCTGGGTCAATTTATGGCTGATGGATTCAGGACTTCTAGAGATCGACGAGGTCGATTCGTAGTTCGAGAAGTGGACACCTTGAAGGAGACGAAGGAGGTCCTTAGGGCTAAAAGAGACATTCCTAGTTCTGATAAGGAGTTTGTTCAGCAAGATGAAAGAGGATATCAGCATGAAGCTGTTTCTTTGGGTCAACTTATCACTGATGGTTTGAGGACTTCCAGGGATGCGGACTCCGACGACGTGGACAGGAAATCCAGTGTAATGCCTTCGGGGGAGATCGAGAGCCTGGAGACGCATTTCATGAGGACCTTCGGATTCGCTCCTGAAACTGATAAAGTGGACCAGGAATTTCGGGAACTCAAGAATACGTCCATTGCTGGGGTGGAGTCGAAAGTGAGAAAGAATGAAACTGTAGTGATGAGGGATGGGAATGTTAGAGTCTTCAACGTCAGCGAAGGAAATGGATTTAAGGAGCAGACCGAGTCGGGCATTCACGTGGAGAACTTGAAGAAAAACGAGACGGATTTTAGTCTGTACTCTTCCGTTGATGGCGTTGTCAAGGAGAACCGGATGCTGTATAAATCATTTGAGCACAAGACGAGTTCTGAGACTGTCGAAGATTTGGAAGTCCAACCTGCGTCCAGTTTAGGGGAGGAGGAGTTCGAGGACGAGGATTCGTCTTCCGAAGTTTCTTCGAGGAAGATCATGAAGATGCGAGCTGAAGACATCGGGGAACATGATGATGAATTTGGCCAAATCGACGTGGAACACTCTGAAGAGATAGACGAAGAAGATATTCTTCCTAATGCCAAGGGACGAAAAATGTCTTTAGGAAGTGGACGTATTATAGACCCTGAAATCGACAACGAAAAGAACCCAGGTCGTTCGAAATCCTCGAGGAAGTCTCGACCTCGACCTTCGAAATCGAAGAATCGATCGCCATCCAAAAACTCCAAAGATGAAGAGTCAGAAGAAACTTCAACGGAGGTTCTTCAAGTACCGACGATGAAGAACCGAGAAGATAATATTCAGGTAGAAGATGATAAGATACTCAGCTCTAAAAAGGAGGTGCAGAAGAAAGAGGATTCTAAACATGCGAAAAACCCTTCCAAAAATTCGTCGAAAATTCTGAAGGACCCTGTAGAGACCGCGAAAGAGGAGGAACATGAAGAGGACACGAAGTTGTCGAAGCAGCATCCAAATGATCTCGATCGCCTTCAAAATTCTGAAGACCAAAGTGCGGTCGAGGAAGTGCAGGCTTCGAAAGAGCTCCACGAAGATCTTGAAGAAAATGATGAGGGGATAAAAAATAAAGGAGAAAGCGATGAATATCAGAACGATGGAGTAAGTCAGGAAGAGTACGAGTACGAGGATGTGAATTCAAGTACTCAGATTGGAGAGAAGGATTATTCCGAGGGAAATCCAACAGAGGTGTCTGATAAGTCTGCATTAAGAGACGAAGATGCCGAAGGGGAGGTCGATGCGGAGGAAGACGCAGGAGGAGAGGAATACGAAGAGGAGGAAGAAAAATCCAACTTATCCACGGAGTATCCGGATTCTGGAAGCAGGTCTTCCGAAAAGTCTGATCCAGCCAGGTCTGACTACAAGGACGAGTCCAGATTGAACTCGGAAGACTATACATCAGACGAAGTTGCAGACTCCCGTGAAGAGTTCGACGAACTTGAAGAGTCGACGCAAACGGAGCCAAATTCCGAAGACGAGACCCCAAAGACTGATGGCGTTTTGAAATTCACAGATGAACTTCCAAGGTCGGAAACAGAACAACCTGCCGAAGAAGTGGAAATGACGACGACGAAGGACGACTTGCGGGATTACGTGGATGACAATTACGAGGCGGCGAATTATAAGGACCAGGAGGCCAAGAAAGTAGCTTCAAAAGTTCCAGAAGAAGAGGCAGAAGGTCCCTCGAAGAAGAAGAAGAAGAAGAAGCAGGAGGGAGCCGAGGAAATCGCCAACCCTGAAGAACCGAATCTGAAGGATCAACCTGATCAGATTGAGGAATCAGCTGGGAAGAAACACGAAAATACGACTGAAGTCATTGAAAGCGACATTCCTGCGGATGATACGATGAGTACAACTACCAGCGCACCAAGTACCACCCAAAGTACAAGTACTACCACGACAACGACTTCAGCTCCGACTTCAGCAACGACAACCACAACGACAACCACAACAACGTCGACGACCACCACGACCACATCGAGACCAACTCCTCCGAAGCTTTTCAAGCCTTTTACCTTGAGGAAGAGCTACACCTACTTTCCACCTACAACGACACCAAATCCCGTGGTCATTAAACCTAGGTCAGGCCTATTTAACCCCAAACCAGCGAAGCCACCAAAATCATACAACGATCTAGCTCCCAAACCAGTGATAAGAAGGCTTCCTCTTCTAGCGAGGAAGGTTCCAACCTCGGAGGTGTTAAACTCAAAGTCGACAGATAAACCTACAACGTCGATGCCCACAACAACAGCTTCAACAACATCAGAGATCATCCCTGCGACGTATGCTTCGGTGGATTCCGCCAGGAGCGAGGAAAATGTTCTAGAAGCGAGGTCCGAATTGTACGAGATCGAACACCTGAAAAGGAAGAACTCATCAGTGAACGAAAAGCCTGAAGAGTCTGAAAAGGGAATCCTTGATAAGAGTCACGGGGATGTTGAAGTACCATCGAATGAGCGCGATGCAGACTCGGCTGGGACTGCACCAAAGACAACGCAGTCGACGATGACGACTGAGTTGATGATGCAGTCGACAACTGAGTTCACAACTGAATCGATGATGCACTCTACAATTGAGTTGTCTAGTGATTCGACGGTTCAGACAACAATGGAGTCTACAATGGAGTCAACGACGGAGGTGATGACGGACCCGACGATAACGTCGACGATTACGTTAGAGCCTACGACAACGACGGAGATGATGGAGACTCCATCTTTAAATTTAGACGCTGATCAAGCAAGAGTTCCCGATGTGTCCGATCTTCATGGTCCTGATCTTCTGCAGACATCAAGGGTCGCTTCTTCCTCTTCCGAAAAGTCCATCCCCCTCATGGAACCAATTCTTCCCTGGACCTCTTCACCATCCGAGACGGAACGACCTCTGCAGCCCACTTCCGTTCGCTCGGTCTACCGGAAAGTGAGCGGAACCAGACGTTACATGAGCTTCAATTGCCTAGACAAAGAGATGTACCGTTTTTACGGGGATACCAGAGACTGTAGGTTGTTCCATTACTGCTCTCCAGGTTTTACAGCACGTCAGGTCCTCGACTTCCGGTTTGTCTGCGAAGAGGGGACCGTCTTCGACGAGGCCACCCAAAGTTGTCGACACGACCTTCCGAACCGGAAGTGCAAAAACAGGAGGTGGTGAAGGCCTCTTCGGGGTCGTGGGAAAAATCTGCAGCTCGGTTTAATGGTGTAATTACTGCGACTTGCTGTTAAAAATAATTCCACGTTAAATTTCCATTTATCTCGAAACTTCCTCTTAAGATTTGCTAAGTAATCCCGAAGAATGAGAGTGTATACAATTGTCGATATTTCTGATAGTTTTATGGTTTAAGTTACCGGGCTAGAATTGTTGAATTCAAGGCTCAATTGAGAAATCCCGGGAGTGGTGGTAATTACACCGATTGAATTTTTCGAGGACTTCCGGAGTCTGGATGAAGGCGGAAACAGGAGCCTTAACATGTCCCTCGTGGCTTGTGTCGTTGATTCTGATAATTCGTGAATCCTGGGATTCCCTTACTCGTTAGTATATTTATATTATCGCGTCATGGCGGCTATATAATATTTAAGTATTGCCATAACGCTTGCGCGCGTGTAGGCCGCGGCGGTTGGATTCACACTTATTAAAATTAACGAGGCCATCTTGAATGGTATGTATAAACATAAAAAGCCGTAACGAGGGACAGGCCGCCTATCGTTCCGATTTTCGGCCTCTGCTCTCTAATTTCCCACATTGCTCTCTCACTGTTACTCTATCTCTCTTCTCGGAAGACGAAAAGAGAGGCTCGCTAGTCGATACTTTGGAAAATCGACGTTTGATTCGATTTTAAAGAGGTGTCGACGCGGCGAACACCATTTGGATTAGGTGCCCGATAAGAGCATAATTACCGCTCAGAAAAGTCGATCTATCGGGAAAAAATCGATTTCTCGAGCTTTTAGCCGATTTCGAACGGCAAGCTTCACCGCGAAATCGGGCGAAACTTCGGAATAACGTATAAAAAAAAAAAGAAATAGTTTATTTCAAATCCGGCTGAATTGTCGCCGATAATCACGCGTATTACTAGTTAATTCTTTATAGAGTTATTCGAACGTTTCGCTTAATTAAATTGAACAGTGTCCATTGCTCAACTGCGTCTTTGATGTTTGCGTATTCTGCGATCTCGCATTGAAAATAGAATTTGCCTAAGGTTTATTGAAAGTGCAGGTTTTGGATTTAATGATATTTGCGAGATTTGCCGCAGGACGTTCGGCGTGCAGACTTGCGGGAAAAAGAAAGATGGCGGCGGGGATGTCCATGCCGCGAGAAATCGAAGGATATTAAGTTTGGATGGACGTTCTTCTTCTTCCTGTCGGTTTTATCACGCTGGGGGAATACTCGTGTCATCGCGCGCGTTTATTAAAGGTAGATTTTTGTTTGTGTAAGCGATGTATGTAAGTGCGTACGTGGTCGTACGTTCGCGTGGCCGACGCCATTTTGCGGAGGCTCGCGCGTAGCAAAGAGATTGTCTTCCTATTTAAGTATATTCGCATGTTATAGATGTAAGGCAGAGAGACTTCCTAATGATCGATTTAGAAAACGTAGACACTTGGTTCGTCAAGCCTACTTTACCGTTTACCGGATCATCTAGCGAGATATTGTAAATAGAGCACGTGCCTCGACAATAGCGAATGTATGTACTTACGCGCGATGACGATTAGTCAAGTACATATTATCTCGCAGAAGTGCAACCGCATTTTTCTTTTTGTCTTCTGGTCGAGTCTAGACCCCGGAATTAATCTCCAAATTCCATAGTCTGTTCGAATTCTGGAGAGGTTATTGGTGAAGATATTTGAATCGCTCAGGTGGGGAATGGAATCGAATCGAATATTCCCGCCATTTTGGCGGTGACGCTTTTCCGTTCGATTCTTAATATCGAAATATTGCGGAAGCTGAACTTCTCTCTATTGTCAAACAATGTTTATTAGTTGATCAGATTGTCCTCAAATAAATTTTACGATCAAGAATTAAACTTTGTTATTTATTTCTTTTCAATTTTGCAGCTATCTTTCGCTTTTATCAGAGATGAGTTGGGAGATTGCTCACGGGCAGGATCGTGTAATCGCATCCTGTGCTGCCCTCTGGTTTCGTACGTTAGCTTTCACCGTTTTTTGCCCCCAAAGACGGCGAAACGAATTTCTGATACGAGCACGCACACTCACGATGGCGGTACCATCTACCAGTCGCCGTTGGCGGCTCACGTACTCGTGATGGTAATACCATGCGGCAGTTGACGGTGGTGGCTTACCTACGCTTACCGACACTGCTCGCTTTTGATGGTAAGGGAAGAACACTCGTGACGCTCCATTTGACTTTATCTACTTATCTACTACTATTAAGTACATTGTTGCCTCGAAGTCGACGTGATGCGGAGCTTTGGGGCACGCGCGGTGTCGCGTACCAGAGCTGGTGAAAGCTAACGTACGAAACCAGAGGGCAGCACAGGATGCGATCGCACGATCCTGCCCGTAAGCAATCTCCCAACTCATCTCTGCTCCCAATCACTCCCAATTCATCTCTGTAAATACCGCGAATACGCATGCGCATGCCGAGCACGTGGTGGACTTGGTAAAGTGAGGTTATGTGTAGTACAAGCATTCAGAAGGAGTACATGTCATATTGAAATATACACAGTGGGTAAAAAATATTCAGTTCATCTTTAGTATATCGTAAGAAAGGCTCTAAATTATGAAATCGATATCTGCTGTTTATCGGCTATCTTTTATAAATTCGGTAGGAACCTTATTTGCGCCAATTAGACGTTCCACGTATGTTCAGAGCAGAGTCTACCTCGGATCGTTCTCAAGAATGGCTAATTCCATCAAAATTGGTACTCATGATGGATGTTTTCACTGTGACGAATGCCTCGCTTGTTTCATGCTTAAACTGCTTCCTCGATATAAGGATGCCACGATCGTTAGGTGAGATCCATTTAACATGTAAAAGTATATAATCCCCTGTTGTATGTAGTGGTCTAAGAAACTGGTAACTGATTTATAGAACAAGGAATGAAGCAATTTTAAATACCTGCGACATAGTGGTTGATGTAGGTGGAAAATTTGATCCTTCGACGTATCGCTTCGATCATCATATGAGGTATTTCTTTCATTTTATTTACAATAAATTATGATTATAATGGTGTTACCTTTTTAGGGATTTTAAAGAAACTATAGATACAGTATTAAAGAGACCCGAAGGTAATTCTAAAATTAAGTTAAGTAGCGCTGGTCTTGTTTATTGCTTTTTTGGCAAAGAAATTATCAAGCAAATTCTTTCGGAATTGGAGGATGAAACAGCGATTGATTGCATTTTTAATATGGTTTATGAAACGTTAATTAAGGAAATCGATGGAGTAGATAATGGAATTCCTATGTATAGCGGAGAACCAGCGTAAGTTAATCTATTATCACATTTAAGAGTGCATGGTAGTTACAAATGAAACTTATTGTTCTTTTCTGCCGTATTTTTAGATATCGGATAGTAACCGGTTTAAGTAGTCGAGTTGATAGATTGAATCCAAAGTGGAATTCTAAAGATGTAAATATCGAGCACCAGTTTAACGAAGCTGTTGCATTAACCGGTAAAGAATTTATTCAACATGTTGAGTATATGGGAAATGTTTGGTGGCCAGCTAGATTTATTGTCAAAGATGCAATCAGCAAACGCTTTGCAGTAAGAGTGTTCATTCACCTATTCTAGAAGTATGGAGAATTAAAAAAGATGACACGATAACTAAGACTAACATTTTGTTCATCGAATACAGGTAGATCCAAGTGGTGAAATAATAGAACTATCTCAAGGAGCTCCTTGGAACCAACATTTTTACATGCTAGAAAAGGAATTGGGCGCTGAAAATCAAATTTTATATGTCATTTTTCCTGACGCAAATGATTATCGAGTTAGAGGCGTACCAGTCGAGAAAGACAGTTTCGTGTGTAGGTGGGTAACCGAACATAACTATGCGAATTAAATATATAACAACGTACTAAAACCAAGAAATAACAATGACTTACGGGTGACAACTTTCAGAATGTTTTTACCGGAAAAGTGGGGTGGTTTACGAGAAGAAGAGCTGAGCAAAGTAGCAGGTATCGAAGGTTGTATTTTCACTCACGCCATCAGATTCATCGGTGGACATCGGACAAGAGAGGGTGCACTGGCAATGGCTCGGAAGGCCATAGAAATCGGAAAATCTCTAAAATAACAATGCCATAGGTGAAGAAAATAAATCAATTAAAACGTGCCATTATTATCGATCACTTCAAATCACATCACTCGCCTTGCCCAGCCGTATCTGCTCCAGTGAAAGTAGTCTCACAACACGAGTGCACCTGTCATGTTAATTTAATTCAGTTTGCAGAAATGTACCGTCTTGATAAATCCGGCTGAAAATTCCAGCGCACATCGGCGGCGCGCTGTCGCAATTTTTGAGCAGGATTGCGCGACGCGGTTCAAGAAGCGTTGCATAAAAAAATGGTATCGAACAATAAAGGCGAGACAAGTTCATGCCCGAGTGCAACAAGTTGGCGACAGAGGTGTGTCCCTGCGCTATGTGCTCGGCCGGAGGCGGATATCGTACAGAGAATGTCTATTGCATTGACGTTTGCCCGATGGATTGCTGGGGGGCGTGAACCATAGCCGATCGCGCTCTCATACCGATCGAACTTTAATTTCTTTTTCCGTCTCGAAGATTTTACGAACTTTTCGACTTCTTGCTACCCGCCGAGCCCCATTGTGGGCGCACAATGCGAACGAAAGTACCAACGTCGGCGTCATTCGTGTGTGAAATCGTTAAGCGATCATTGGGGCAGCGAAACGTTCATTAGCGGTATTACGGGGCAGGAATTGAAGCGTACGTGTGTGTACCGTGTAATTACACGGTGCCTATTGCGGACATTAATCGAATGACAGTCGCTGCCTCTGCTGTTCACGTGTTCGATCGAATTCTTGTCATTCTGAGAAATCTGCCACCCGGCACATATGCCGAGGTAACGTAGCCATGCATGTCCACTGTATAGAGTTATTGTATCAAGTATGTACAACCATGCATGCCTACGTTGTCTATCCGCGTTACAATAACTCCTCCGACTTCTTGTAATCCCGGTTATCACCTTTTTACAAGGATCACCCCCCGCATATTCAAATGAGCCTTGGAGTTTGTACAAATACGATCTGTATGTGCACTTGTCGCGAGACTCAGTCGAGGAGGGGGGTAAATAGTAAGAGCAACCGGCGCGTACGTGTATGTACCGTGTAATTACATGGCTCTTTTTGTGGGCATTAATCGAATGACAGTCGCTGTCTCGGCTGTTCACGAGTTAGATTGAATTCTTGTCATTCTAAGGAATCTGTCATCCGGCACGTGACGGCGCTGCCCCTTGCAAAGTGCAATTAAGCTTCCGACTGCAAAAAGCATAAACTGCATCGTTTCTTTCTTCCCACTTTAGTCCTTTCTACGTTGTAAGTGGAAGACTCCATTACGACATGCTTCGGACATTATTTCTCGTGGAGATAATAGCGAAAGGGCTCGCCGTTTGCGATTATGCCATACAGTAATTTTTACATCAATGTTTAGAGACAATTTATTCGACGTGTGTTTTTAGGAATAAGTACGTGGAAAGAATGTAAAAATGTAAAAGCCGCGGAGAAATTCTTGTTATTCTGGCCTTGTCTTTTTTGGGTATAAACATACCCAGAATGTAGTGTCCCGTGCGATCGATTTTAAAATCCCACGCAGTTCTCGTCGCAATCTGATTATCGGGTTTGTCGATATTTAATAACATTCGGCGCCAGTTAAAAGTATGAAAATTATTTTGATAAGCCTTTGAAATCGTAAGCAGACGAAAAAAATGTTTAAACCTCGGAGAGATTCTCATTTTGCTGGGCTCGCTTTTTGGGTCCGCACGTATCCAAAGTATTAAGTTCCCGGTGCGGTTGATTTCCAATTCGCACGCGGTTTTCGTCGCAATCTGATTACGAGGTTTGTCGAAATGTAAAGTCATTCGGCAACAGTCAAAAGGGTGGCTCCGATGCGGTCGTCTTTTTGCGCGATTACGCGAGCGCGGTTCGTCGTGCCTCCGAATCTTTCATAGCTCGCGGTTGGAGCCGGTGCTTGTAACTATTAACGATTTTGTAATTCATAGTTATCAATCGGTTAGGTACCAGGATACGCGATAACCGTGAACGGTGATTTCGCGAGGCATTAAAACATATGAATTCCGCCGCCACCTTGACGAATCCGAACAATCGGGGAAATTCCAAGCACCACTACGAATCGGCAAGAAAGCCGCCAACGATTTCTCTGGGGTTGAAAAAGATTGACAAAGATCGAGTTGTCGAAGCGATCTATTCATCCCTGATCTCTAATTCCTGAAAAGAATCAGGATTCTTGCGAAAATCGGGAGGAATCGGATACCATTATCCACCAGTTGGTTAATCGAGCACTGAACGTTGACAAAAGTAAGAACGAGAAAAATTGCGAAATTAAACGCCGATATATAAAAAATGACATGGACAGTTTCAAATTTATTAAAATTATTACCACCGACCAAGTGCTTTATCACGAATTTGAAAAAAATTCATAAAGTGCTGTTAGTCATTATATATATATATCAAAACGTGAAAATGTTTATACAACTTTTCTCCGGCCTGGATGCATTGAATCGTTTGAAACAATAGCAGATAATCAAGGAGGCCCTAAGGAAGACCGTTTAAAAAAAATATGTATTTTTATTTATACCAGAGCGGAACCATTATTTTTGAAAAATTAATATTCATGAGCGTCAAGTTCCTCCTTAGGGCCTCCTTAATGACATGTTGAAATTTCAAAGGCTACAGTGCACCCAGTTTGGAGGAAAGTTTTATGAATACCTTGACGTTTCGATATACATAGAAAGACCCTTTCACAGTACATTCGTAAAACTGGTGATTTAAATTTTTTTCATCCACATATGCAATTCAGAAAACCATCTGCATCGCGACAATAAAATTCTGCGATCAAACCCGCCCAAAGGAATGTCAGGTCGCAAATGAAATGACTTTAAATCATCATGAATTTTTTTTTCTTCAACGGAACAATTGTTTCTAGCAATTACATTCAATTCCTGCATATATCTTTTTCTTTTCTCAGTGTATCTTCACTCAATTTGGTCATTCGGGATTAAAAACGCATCCGCAGGAATTCCGTTTGCGAGTTGGGAGGGAAACGACTGTGAATTCCCTCACAAGAGCTTTTATGCGTACCTCGTGGGGGTTTTATACCCATTCCAGGCAGTTAGGGCCCGTAAACTGCGTTCGAAATGTCGCCAGGTCGGTCGAAATTGCGAAACCCGAGCTGATAGTCCGGCTGAGTTTTGCAGACTATCGCCATGTAAGGCGTGACCCTTGGATTCGAATTCTGTCAGTTTTTCATCTCGGTAGTTGGATAATACTCGGCGACAATGCCTACGTACTCGCGTATGTCGCAATCCGCGCCCCCGCGACCCGCTCGTGTACTTAGATAGGCACCTCTATGTCGCATTATAGGATAATCACATCTTACGGGGTCGCATTGATTACGTGGACTATAGAAGAGCAGCGATTTCCAAACGCGTCCGCCCCTCTCCGGCGTGAAAACGCGCGAAAACGCGTGCGAGCTCTCGATGGCCGCAGCGTGTCATGTCAGCCGCTGCGGCCACGGGGAGGAGTATGAACAGTAAAAGAGTAAACCTATTTTTCATCCAGGTATATAAGCTCGCATTTAGGCCCAGAGAGGAACAGACTGCAGCACGGCACAGCCGATATGAGGTCCATTGTGAGTAAACGCCGTCTACCGATCTGCTCGAGAGGGGAGGGACTCTGGTCGGGGTAGAGAAAAAGCGGAATTGCTTCGATGGGGTTCTAATCTCTGAATAGCTCTGAAAGTGTCCGAATTGGGTAATCGAGTCAGGGGACGGGGAAATTTTTCAGAAATTTTTGGGAAATTCTCGACGATCTCTCTTGTGACCATCTCCGGGCATTGAAGTCTCCGAGAGTCCCGCCGCATTTCTGGGAGTCTAGAGGGTATTTTTCCTCGGAGGAAAAAGTGGAGTTGCTTCAGTAAGGCTCTAGTCTCCGTTCGATATCTTGGATAGTGTCGTCGAATTGGGTAATCGAGTTAGGTGAGATTGTTTTGAAATTTTTGGGAACTCTCTGACGGCCTTTCGTGGGACGCTCGGAGTCTCCGAGTGTCACAGTGCATTTTTGGGGGACTATAACACGGAGGGTCGAATCAGAGATTTTTTAATAAGATTCCGGATTTTAATGTACTTTCTTTCCTGTGAATCTACTTTCGATATTAGATAATCGAGGTAAAAATTGAATGAGAAAACCTGAGAGGTCGTTTCTTGTGGCTCTGTATGGACGTTGAAGTCTCCGGGTGGCAGGGCATTTGAGAGTTTAAAGTTTCTAATCTTTCTAATCTCTTTCTAATTAGGTCCCCCAATTCTGACATTCGTAAACCGACCGGCCCAATTGTTCAGTTTCATTTAAATCAAATGAATTTTACTCAACATCTTGATTCCCATATTCAGTCACCTGCAAAAACTTGAGAAAATCTCCCCAAGAATAATCCAAAATGTCTGTTTTCATTCCGTGTTACGACTTTCCAGGTGTTCCTGCTATTCGTCGTCGGCAGTGCCCTGGGGCGGCCGGAGTACCACGTGTACCAGGGGTACCATGGATTCCAGGGTAACCACCTACAACAGCTGTTCCAGCCCCAGACCTACCAGGGTCCTCAGGCCCCCCTGGCGAGCGACGGAAGAGTCATCGACACGCAGGAAGTGGCGGCCGCAAAGGCGGCCCACGCTGCGGCCTACGCGGCAGCCGCAGCGCGGAGCCATTACGCGCCAGCTTATCACGACGCGGCCCTAATCGGCGGCCACGAGGGATTCCAGGCATTCCAGAACTTCCAGACCTACAGCGGTCCCCCAGCACCCATTGGCCAGGACGGCAAGGTGGTGGACACCCCGGAAGTGAACCAGGCTAAGGCGGCGCATTTCGCGGCCCACGCCGAGGCCCTTTCGAGACATCCGATCCACCTGCACGGATTCTGGTGAAGATACCTGTGCGGATTCCGCCGAGACCACCTGCACCCTTCGGACCACCCCTGACGCCGACCTACACATATATTTATACGTGCTCTCCGTGACGTCCATATTTATACGCCTGCGTTCGCCAGTCCTTTATAAAGTTTACACCATGTTTTAGAAACATCAGAGCGCCTTTTTACTACTCACCCATGGGCGTCGATAAGGTCAAGGTGTAATTAGGGTGGATAGGAATCATTTAACAAGCGGCCATCTTGGATCTTTTCAAAAGTCCCCTTTTCGTCCTAATGTACAGTCACTTGGTCCATTTCGCTGGACGCAAAAAATTCATTTTTAAATCTCTTTAACCTTAGCTATATCGACGCGATATCGCGAGGTCGATAAAATCAAGGAGACTTTAGGGTGGAGGTCTGCAGACTGATAGTAACCATTTAGTGAGCGGCCATCTTGGATTTTTGAGTCTCCTCTTTGTCCTTGTGTATAATCACCTCGGTCCATTTCGCTGGACGCAAAAAGTTCCTTCTCGAATCTTTTTAATCTTAGCTATATCGACGCGATATCGAGAGGTCGATAAGGTCTACATTGCAGGGTGGAGGCGCGAAGGTGGAGGTCTGAAATGGCATGTCGAAACGACCGTTACTTGACAATTTTCCGTTCAATCGTGGCCCGGGTCGCGACCACCTCTCGGCGACTGGACCCGCTCACCTGTGGACACCTGTCCCCCTAGAATGCCCGACTCGGGGTTTTATGCCCGATAGTTATTCTCCTCGTTGAGGGCTCGCAAAGTTGGAAAGGACCCGGCTCCAGAACGGGAAAGTCGGGCCTCCTTTCATACGACCTTCTTCCGCGGCCCGCGTGGGCCGAATCGTTGTTACATACCGGCCTGCGTTTTGCGCCCGCGCTAATGGAACGCTCCGTTTATGTAAAAAGACCCGCAAGTGATTATCAGATCCGCCGAACAAAGCATCCCTTGCGAAATAAGACTTTCCCGTGAATTGCCCGGGATAACGCCCACCCACGCCCACCGCGTATTCACGTCGTCCTGAATAGACTCCGGACTTGCTGGAAAATCTTGCCCAATGGCTCCCGGGAAGAATGGACGCGCTTCTTATTCCCCTTTCTGACGATATTAACGCGGAAAATTTATATTATGTCAACTTTAAATTACTAAGCCGGGAGGGGAAAATAAGAGAATTTATAGTCTGCCGGGAGAAAGGATGCGCTGTTTGTTCCCTCTTTCTTGATATTAATACCGAAATTTTATATTACGAGGTCAACTTTAAATTAAAATAAGCTAGGAGAGGCAAAATCAGAGAACCTTACTCAATGGTCTGCAGCGTCTTTTTATTCGCTGCGTACTTCATAATCGGAAGATCATGGATTGTATTGGAAAATCGTTATGGCGTTAACTCCAGATAACTAAGCTATAAGTAATGTTGCGATTCAATTGTTTCGCTTACTTTTATGAATGGTAAAGTTAGCTAGGATTAAAGGGAGACGAAAGGTACGGAAAGCGAGGGCACATTATTATTTATGGAACACCATTGATCAAGATACTCATGGCCTTAATGTCACGTTTGACGGGACATTTTTTTTTTTACACGCTCCCGCGTTCTCCAGCGCCCACCTGGAATGCCGCCATTGCCGGCACCACTCGCATTTATACCGTTCCCTGTTTTACGAATTCTTTCTAAACTTTGCATAATGTCCCACACAACATTCTAGGTGTGAGCGAGCTCCTGCTAGGCGGCGTTCCTTCGCCTAAAAAATTGGTACCAGTGACGTCATGGCGTAGCCCAGAAGACGCTTCCTCTTCCGGGCTATCAAGTGAACCAATTAAAAAGGCTGCGCATTAAATGAGCATATTATGTGCACTTGTAATGGGGAAAACTTGGAGAAAAGCGCTGCAATAAAGCCTCCGGCTTTTCCGGGTGCTTACCTGTCCTTGATGGGATACATGTTGGGTCCTTATCGCGTCTCGCCGTGGAATTTCTTCTAGAGATAATTGCACATTTAAATAAAACTGTCTAGAGTTCGGTAACAAATTATGAGCAATGCTGGGGAATATGTTATGTAATTAATACCTGACCTGTCTCGTTACAAAATATAAATGACTAACTTTTACAAATTTATCGGCCTTACGGAACGGCATGTATTTGGTGTAAAACTCTGCCAAGTTTCCTGATGAACGGATTTTTGCTAGATAGCGTTTCTTCGCCTAAACGTTGGTACCAGTGACGTCATAGGTGCAGCTTACTCTTCCGGGCTATCAAGTGAACTAATTAAAATCCGCGTTATTATGCGTACTTGTAATGGGGAAATGTCGGCGCCATTCCTGGGTGCTTACTTGTCCTTGGCCGATACCTGTTGCGTTCCTGTCGCATCTCGTCGCCGTCATTCAGCGCCTTGTCAACTATTCTGAACCTGCGCCGAACAGAGTGTGGACAAGCTCCGATCGCTGCTATCTTATCGTACCTGTCGATTGATTTACTGCCTGGGAAAGAAAGATCGGCGTGGCCTTACCTGACGTTACGTGTATGCGTTCGGCGAGTGCAAGCTGCCTTGCGACCTGGTCAACGAACCAGGACACGGGTTACGCTGTCAATTATGACATTACACGGTCTCGATGAGGCTTGCGCCAACGGCCACGCAAAACTGCCCGCAGACCGATCGCAGCGCCCGACGCGTCGCCCGGAATGCGCCGCCATCTTTCTTTCGTGCGAAAAAGGGCTCGGCGACTCTTTCGCAAGAAACCGCCCGAAAAACCGCGGCCGGGGCTTTCTCGCCTTGAAAAACCCGGGAAAAGGGTCTGACGAAACATTTTACAGTAGTTTCAGCGACCACACAGTTTAATCACGGTAATTTAGATAGGATTTTATGACACTCTCAAGACGCTCCGGGTGCCGCGCCGCCATGACAGTTTTACGGAGTCTTCCTTATAAGCCAAAATTAATTTAAAAACATAGAGCGGGGCTTTCCGGCGTCGAAAAATGAGAGAAAAGGGTCTAACGAAAGGTTCTGCGGTAATTTTAATATCCAGAAAGTAGCGTTTTAAGTGTTTTATGCTTTAATCTTGATATTCTCAGAGGCTCCGAACGACGCGCCGCCATAACAGTTTCATGGAGTCTCCTTTCAAAATCCATTTTAATTGTAAATATGTGACTGTATGTACTACTTTTTACTACTTTACGGTAAATAAGGAGTGATAGTTAATGGTTTCACGGGAAATGCCGGCGTTAACCTTTTCCAATATTTTTTTTCTATCTCTGAACAGGATCCTCGCGGACTTGCGAGGATTATCCCGGGCGTCCTTCGGGCGTCGGCGCAAAGAGAGGTCTTGCGATACTCTTATTTACAGGCGGTGCAGGTATTTGCTGCTATATCGCACTTATTACACGGAATCGAGTTCAACCGGCACGAGATCGCTCCAGTTCGGAGAGCTGGCAGCTTCTCGCCAAGGCCGTAACCGTGAATGACTCGAGAGAGCGAGAGAGAGAAAAAAAGGGGCTCTAGTACTACTCGAATACAGTTTCACCTCTCTTTCTACACGAGTTCATTTCTCGTTACGCACGAGGATTCTTTGTTCCGCTTTTGTGGAGCCGAGTGGAATTACGATTATCGGCTCTCCTCGAGTTAAGAGTCGACTTTACGACCGCGAGAACCACTCGATTGACTCCAACGAATCGTCGACGGCGAGATGCTGATTATATATTTATTGATTTTTTTCTAATCATTTTTTCGTCCCTCGTTCTTGCTTAATAAGGGGCGCAGGAATCCCCGAGAAATCCCTCCACCTGTTCCAATTTCTTCAGCAGGGACTTTCACTTTTCACGCCGAGGAAAAAACGAATCCATTGAATGAGAGAAATAAATCATTAATTCAGAGAATAATTATTTCGCTCAGATAAACTCTAATGGATTGTCATAATTCAGGAGGAATATTGCATCCGAGTTATTCGAGTCCATCTTAGGCAATTATTCTTCGAATTAAATTAATTTACTAAATAATTCTTTGCCACTAGTCAATGAAATATTTCCCTGGTTTAATGAATTTCTGTTCCCAGTGCGGACGAAATTTCCTTCGCCTTTTTAAGGGACCATTTCGGAGCTTAGTCGATTATCCTGCTGGAAAATGTATGTGCATGTTGACACGCAAGAATTCCTGCAATTATTCTCAGCGACAAACGGCCCATTATCGTACGTAACTGCGGCTTTCACTTTTGGGGACGAATTCTTTGCCGGTTTTGGAATTTAATTTCGACGGGGGGAATATTTCTACGAGGTGGGGGATTTCGATTTTGGATCGCGAGGAGCCTTTGCACCACCTTAGAGGACTTGAATGCCGTTGGCCAGACTCTTGAGAAATTAAGACGTAACTTTACGGATCCGCAAACCACTTGATTGCTCCCGTGAAAGTAAAAGTACGCGCTCAAAAATGGGTCGTAAAAGTTACTAGGATTTTTACCACTTTCGGGATAACTAGGAGCCTTGACAAAAGTTTCCTTTGCGGCGGGCATTGCCGTGCTCGGTTTTTCGAATTTTTCCACAGTTCTTGTGAATTTGCCTTTTCGGCGGAAAAAAAAACGCCCTAGGGATTTTCGAAACGAAGTGATTTTTCAGCTATGTCTTAACTATAGACGTTTATCACTGGTCCTCAACACCGTTTTATCTAGACACTACAAAAATTCTTCTGATCCCACTAGAAAAAAAAACCCGCAAATTACACTTTCCCTACGGCACATTTTTCCCTCAGCTCCAAAAATCCCTAAAATTTTATATCATATTTCAATTTAAGAAAACTGGATTCAGAATTAAAGGAATGCGATTTTTCGTAGCATCTTCGAGGTGAGGACGTCGCAGTCTCGATGTGAGATAAGGATGGCTCCTTGACGTTGCTCTTCAGCTTCTCAGAGAATAATCAGCTAATGTACAAGAATCGCGATATATCGTAGCATCGCGGTATTAAGTTCAAGAAAAATTGATTAAAAATAAAGGAATATGATTTTTCGAGGTATCGCCAGGGCGAGGAAACCGCCGTTTTCACGTGAGACAAAGTGGATGGCTCCTTGACATTACACTTCAGCTTTTCAAGGGACAATAAGCAGGTGCAGCACGGAGTCAATTTATCAGTTTTAGATCCAGGAAATCACGTAATGGTGGTCTTAAATCCAAGAAACATACACTCAAAATTAAAGGATACATGTTTTCGAGGCATCTTCAAGATGAGGACGTCGCAGTTCCCATGGGAAATGTTGTGGATGGCTCCTTGCCGTTGCTCTTCAAGTTCTCAGGGGAGGACGATCAGCCGGTGCACCAGAACGTCGATTTATCGATGCATCGCGTTATGCAGATCGTGGGCAAAGTGCCTAAGAGGTGTAGACTCGGTTTTAGCGAGTAGCGCTCGCTATTATCGTAGATAAATGTTACGGGGTAGGGCAGCAAAGAGAGCATTTTGTTGGGTGTGGTGTGCGAAATGCATGGTGGGGTACATAGGAGCGATGGAGCACAACCTATAAATTGGACGATCCATCGTATCCCAAGTCAGGCTAACCAGACCTGCCACAAGATCAGGATCACGATCAGAACCGCTCCTGAGTACCTTCGACACGTGCAATCAGCTGATCGCCACCTTACAACAATGATCCATTTTGTGAGTACTTTCCGCCGACAAATTGTTGGATTTTTTTCGCATCCAGGTAGGCCAAAAAATGGGAAAAGAAATCTTATCAGGTGTTACTTCGTCGACAATAACGCTGACATAACTTGCGACGCGACGACTATTACGATTATGGGCAAATAATTGGCACAATAACCGTACCGATTGTCTCGGGCTATCTTCCGGGACATTGTGCCATACTACGGCGCATTAACCGTGGATATGATCTCCTTACCATATACTCCATACATAAAGCATGACTTTCTTTCTTGCGCAAACTTTTATGTGGAATTTTGACACCGTTCGCTGGAAAGGTTGTACCATTTTCTACCTCTAGCTTGCAATACTCATTATATATTTTAATATCTTAGAGAATTTATTATATGGGTTGTTCAATCGCGAGGAATTCATTTTTGCAAGGGGGTGAAAATGAGGTTTTATTTTTGGCTCTTCTCGGGAATAGGAATACTTATGTCAATTGTTTTGATTTAATATTGCAGTTTGACCGTGGCGATAGTGACAATTCTTTCAAGCTTGGGATCAATGAAGTCATGTCTGTCGAGAAATCTGCACTAATTTATGCAAACTTTCGAAGGCATTCGATTTATTTCATGATAACTCTTCATTTCATTGCCCTGACTTTTAATTCGGGAGACGAGTACTTATGTTATCCATTTCGATTTAATATTGCAGTTCGACCGTGGCGATTAGTGGCAATTGTATCTAGCGCGATATCAATGAAGTCGTGTCTGTCGAGAAATCTGCACTAATTTATGCAAACTTTTGAAGGCATTCGATTTATTTCATGATAATTCTTCATTTCATTGCCCTGACTTTTAATTCGGGAGACGAGTACTTATGTTATCCATTTCGATTTAATATTGCAGTTCGACCGTGGCGATTAGTGGCAATTGTATCTAGCGCGATATCAATGAAGTCGTGTCTGTCGAGAAATCTGCACTAATTTATGCGAACTGTCGAAGGCATTTGATTTATTCCACGGTAGCTTTTCACCGAGTCAAGTGGTTTTCCAGCATGCAGTAACCTTAACTTACAGACTCCATTTATCACAGGCTGCACTTACGGTTTATTACCCTGAAAGTACCGCGCGTTAACACAAGGAACATAATCCAGTGCACGGCGTACTTATCATTCTCCGGCTAAGTATAGGATATTTATCCGTGAAATATATTAGCGGCATGTTTGTAAATCACGCAGCTACCGTATGTAACGAGAGTACACACCTTTTTCAATCTCTCCTTTCCCGACGTTTCCAGCCTTACGTTCTCATCAAATCCTTATTACTGACAAGTGAGTGCCAAACCGAAAGAGACAAAAAAAAAAGAACACCGATATTACAGTACTTTATCTACCATACCAACCCGAAATTGGGAATTTTCTCGTTAAACAAGCCAATAAAATCCGCCATTTCCATAAAACGATGTAATTAAAAACAAAAAAGAAATTCACTCAAAACGAGGAGTTTAGAAATCCTAACCTTACATAACAAAACACAATAAATCATGAGAATACTGTTAACTGTGATTTCTTCAGTCTTGGAAAGAAGTTACGTCACGAGGAGAAAAAGGGCCATTACAAAATGCATTTTGCAATCTGTCTCCGCTATTGAAAAACCAGTAAAAGGAGTAAAGGAATGCAGAGGCCTTTCCCGGCTCGCTTTCTCTGGTTTTGCAAAATTGTTGTTCATTGAAATTATTCTTCTTAACAGGTGATTCTCGCAGCGAGTGCAAGTCTGGCGGTGGCGGCTCCTCAATGGGGTTACCATGGGGCAGGATACCATGGGGCTCATGTGGGAGGTCCCCCAGCTCCCCTTGGACCGGATGGGCGCGTTGTGGACACACCGGAAGTCGCTCAGCTCAAGGCCGCCCACCTTTCCGCCTTAGCGGAAGCGCACGCTCGTGCCCCCAAAGGATCCGCCATCGGAACCCCATACGAAGGATACTATGGCGGCCATGACGGGTCTTACGCTCCTCGTTACAGGTAATTAATTCGTTAAAATGAATTCGTTCAAATAATTATTAATATTGTTGTTACCATTATTATTACCTGTAACGCTCCTCGTTACAGGTAATGGCGATTTAATTCAAAGGAATTCACCATTCATCCATTAATTTCATAGTCAAGTGAATTTACAGATCTTCCATTGATTGGTATATTAAGAATATGTGGGGTACGAGCCATTTTTGGTACCGACTTATTGTACGGTTGTTACATATGTTTTGAGCAATCGGGTAAACATGGGCTGTGTTCATAATTGTTTGTAATACCTGTAGTAACGTAGAGAGGTTTAGGCTAGTTATTACCAGCTATTAAGCTGTGGCAAGCTTCAATTACACAGGTACTGAGCAATACTTTGCTACCTCATGTCACCATATCACCTCACATATAGTGCCCTTTCATATCACCTGAAATATAGTGCCTTTCCGTATCACCTTAAAAATTGTACCCTTTCATATCACCTTAAATATCGTTATAAGCGGGATGGAGGGAATTTAAACATCTCAAGTACCTGTATATTAATTTCTGAAACTCTAAATTTCCAGCGGCCCCCCCGCCCCCCTGGGACCGGACGGTCGCGTAGTGGACACACCGGAAGTGCAGCAAGCGAAGGCGGTCCACTTCTCGTTGTACAGCGCCGAGGCGCAGAAGGTGCCATCGGGCCCCGAGAACCCTGGCCATGGGTCCTGGGGAGGAGACTGGAACCCAGCTTACGACCATCACTACTAAAATGGACCAAACTCTGAAAAACGAGCGGGGGCAAACCCCCCGCTCACCGATACGAGCCTCAGCCCCTCGAATCTCTGCGATCTACCTCCACGACGAGCCCTTTCGACTGGACCAACAGGGACCATCTCTTCCTCGGGCACGACTCCTGGGGCCGCGCAGGGCCCGACCTGGCCGCGCCCGACACGGCCCTACGACCTCCTCGAACGCGCTCGTACCATCCTGCCCTTATTTACATAGAACACATCTATACTCGACGAGACCTCTACACTCTACAGATGTCCCCACAGGTTGTTCCTCGATGGCCCTTCCGTATACCCAGGATGAATATTTTTTAAATATACACTTATAAAAATGATCACGCCGACTATTTTCCCTTGCCTTCCTCGGTCTTGCAGATTTAGATTTTACTTATATATTTTATATAATGCATCTTGTGGTGTCCCCTGTAAAAAGGATCGCCAAAAAGAAAGGGGGAAGAGGATCCATTATGGCGTGGTTCTTTGCTTTTTAACTGTGAACTCAAGAAAATCAGTGCATACTCCGAGAAAAAAAAAAAATGTCATCGAGCCAGATAATATTTTGGTCATTCAGAGTTTGGTCCAAATGATCTGGAATACATTGGATGCAACGTTTCTTCGGAATGATTATGATTTATTTGAGCTTATTTGAGGATTGGAATTATTCTTTGAGTTAACTAAATATTTCTTTGGTACCGTGCAGTTTTTTATACAATGCAGAGTCGTTCTCAGATTTCAGAATTTGAGAAAAAACAAAACGTGGGCACGCTTACATGGATATGAAAAATCCATTTCCAAAAAGCATGGTTTTTTCATTGAATGGTGATGGACTTGAAAAGTGCAAGGGCGTCTCGGAGAACGCTGCAAGCTTTTCGGAGGCAGTAAATTAAAACGACACATTCCCTGTCGAGTCTGTCATGGAACGAGTAACGTAATATTCCCTGGGAGGAGAGAAATAAAAAATGGATGTTCGCATATGGGGTCGATATTTACGACGTGTCCAGGGGCTTGGCCAGAATCCGTCAAGGAAATCATTTCCTTTGTCCAGCCTTGCGCGGAAAGGTCGCAGGTCGTACCTGGGATAGGTGCAACGAGGTAGAACGAGGAAACAATCTCCCAGGTAGACCAGCTCTCTCGTGTTACTCTCTTTGACATTAGAGCCGGTAGCTAGAACGACTGGCAAGGCCGCGTTCGGTCGTGCCTGACCAGGAATGCAAAGTCGAAGGAGTAGGTCGGGTCGCAGGGGGTCCAGAAGTCGATAATCAGGACACCGAGTCTAGGATTGATCGAGTATTTATCGAGTATTCCTGTGGCCAGCTCGATAAACACCTCCCTTTACTCCTGGAATTCTGCGTCGCGCAAGAAATGGGTCGGTCGGAATTCCTGGACATTCCAGGGATTTAAATGGGTATCACGAAAGAGCAAGATTATCTCTCCTGCCCAGCGACTCTTTCCTACTTCCCTTTCGTGCCCTCCATACCTCCCTTTTCTCCAGGAGGTCTGTAACACGTCGAGTGAAAGAAATGGGTCGTGAAAATTCTTGGAATTTCCAGGAATTTAAAGGGGTCTAGGAAAGAGCAGGATTTAATTCTCTCCTTACCAGGGAATTTCCAGGATTTTCAGGATTACCGCGAGTTCCCATTTGCATGTGCTAGCGAGTCGGCGTAAAGTGGGCGTTTTGCTCTCTTTTTCTCGGCGCTCCTAAATTTTATGGCCAGAAAACGCGAAAATCGCGCGGAGGCTATTTTACGAGAGGTTTCTCGCGGATAGGATAAGCGACAAGAAAGCGCCTCTAGCTTGATCGAACGATCTCGTGTTTATTTTTGGAGTCTCTCGGGGGTTTCCATTCGCAGGGGTCTCGCGAGATACAAAATCTTATTTACAAAGGGCAGGTATTTTCTGGAGTTAATGGGCCGAGTCTGAAATTCGGGTCAAGGTGCTCGTCGAGAGCAGGCTCCTAGGGGGGTCCCCCATGGGGGAAAAAGCAGGATTTCATGGGTTTCTTCAGGGTCCAGGAGCCTCGGTCGACCTTGTCCCGGGTTCGCGTTCCCCCCGGGCATTCTCGGGAAAAAATTCTTCCCGGTCACCACCCCCTGAAGAGGGTACCAGAAGTGCTACAGCGCGTCAAAACCGCCACTTTTCTCCGGGGAAAGTGCCCCGGCAATCTCGCGTCCTCCCTTTAACGACCCTTCTTCCGCCACAGGGTCTGAAGCTGCTGTAAAGGAAATTCCGCGATTCTTCGGGAAGGGAGGACCTCTCTTCGAGGTCTTCTGGTCTCATCCTCTCGGTGCATCTGGTACACGCAGAAAAGAAAAAAGATGGACCAATTTCATTTCATTCTCTTAATTTCAAAATCCACTTACTCGAACCAGCCAAACAGTTTCGATGAGATCGCCTTTGTCACCTTTAGAAAATATCTTCAATAAATAACGATAACCCCAAAATCTTCGTTAAATTCACCGAGTTGCTTCAGTATCTCGCGTTCCTCGGCAAATTATGTCAAGATTATAAGCAGGTACTTTCCAATCGAATATTTAATCAATTTTGTCACACCGACCAGGCATTTTGTCGGCGCGACAACCACCGTGTGTTGATTGGGAATTCCTCGATTTTTACCAGATATTTTTCTGCGTGTACCAAGAGGAGAATTTTTGCGGCGTTTCGGAGGGGGATCTAGGGTAAATGGCGAGGGGCCTTAGTGTCGGTAGAATTCTTCAGGGCCATGGGGCCCCGCCAGGGACGCCGCCCTGGCGTGGGCCTTAAGATGCGCCGCGCGGGCCCGCGCCACTTCCGGGGTATCAACGACGCGTCCGTCGGGCCCCAGGGGTGCGGGGGGCCCCTGGTACCTTGCCGGAGAAATGGGGCCCACTATCTTCACGGGGAGCCATGGATCGCGCTCTTCGGGGGCCTCGTACATCCAGGGCTCGTACTGCACCTCGTACTCCGCCACCGCTGCCGTCTCCCGCGCGTGCGCCGCCAGGTGCGCCGCCTTCGCTCGAGCGACCTTCAACCGTGAAAATCATTATTCTAAAGCCAATCGATCTCTAATCCTGCAATCATTCAATAATCCGCTGAAACCTCGCCATTGAAAACCTTGAAGAGAGAAATTCTCATTAAGACTGACTTCTGGAAAGAGAGTCCTGCATCCAAGATGGCCGCCACGTTCGAAGCACGTATACTCTCGCGCGTATCTCTATATTAATGTTACTTCCACACGAAATATCGTTGCTAAATTATCCTCCCTGGGCTATCATTGCTGGAATTGATATTCACGAAATTTGGTGGACGTTCTAGAAGTACTTCTGCTAATTTTTTGATATTCGGGGCGCGAGTTCTGAAGTTCCAAGATGGCTGCCACAGTCACCTTGCGAGGACCATCTTGGGCAGATCTATATGTTACCAACTGCCTGCACGCGGTATCGTTGCTGAGCTATCACTACCCATACCGTTATTTATTATATTTAAGTTAATTCAAGGTTTGTAGGACACTTTGATGTTACTTTTGTAGGTCTTTCATGTGATTTGTTACCTCCGGCGTGTCGACGACGCGGCCATCGCGCGCCAGTGGCGCGGCGGGGCCCTGGTAGACGCGAGCGGGGCCGAGGACGGCGACGGGGACCTCGTAGGGTGCGACCTCGAAGTCCAGGGCGTGCTCGTAGTAGTCGTCCATGTATTCTGGACCTTCCTGGACCACCCTCGCCGCGGCCTCGGCGTAGGCCGCCATGTGCGCCGCTCTGGCACGAGCCACCTCCGGGGTGTCCACGACGGATCCATCGGGGGACAGGGGGGCACCTGTTCCCGTGTACTCGTACAGGTATTTGGCTTCGACCAGGGTCGCCGCGGCCAGGGCCGCCGATGTCACCACCTGCAAGCAGGATCAACGATTTTCTTCCCTACACTGAGAAAGAAAGATTCATTGAATTAAAGAAATATTTCTTTGCGCGGTATCAAAGATATATTTTGGTAATTCCATGAATAATTATTTCAATCTAATTCATCCTCGCAATTCCGAATGGACGTTGCATCCAATTTATTCCAGTCAAATAATTATTCAATGAATTTGCAGTGAATGTTTCAACAACTCCGAGGTTTAGTTTACTTTTAACGCGACGAGAAAGTGACATTCGTGAGGTTAGTTGTTCGTGACACTTCTGCAAGCTCGATTTACCGAATCGCTCGAGACTTAAATGTGTAAAACTGTAATAGTATTTATAATGAAATTAAAGGAAAAGTTGAAATTACATGGGTGTCAGAATGTTTTTTAGGGCCTTAGAATCCACAGAGTGGATTTGTCAATTCGGTACATCCAGTTCGGAGAAAAGTTTCATTGCCGTCACTTTCACATCGCCTTAATCAATATTATCATGGAAATTTAAGTTCCGAGGTATATCAGGTGCACGACTGAGTTCCGCACCAAGTCGACCGGGGAGACTTGGGCGGCGCGACCGAGTCTCTTTACGGGAATGAATGTTTTAATTTAAGTAATTCAGTGCTAGGCAAGTCGTTCAAAATTGTACAATTGGCCCAGGGGCCCACACGTTAATGTCACAGGTTTTTTCCAGTAGTCCCACGCAGCTTCGATGGGTTGCTTGTAGGTGTAGGTGGTGCGCGTCCACGAATAGGTGTCCTCGAGTTCACTCGGAAACGGTGCGACCGATCTGACGCGATGTCCCTTCTTTTACGAATGAGTATTTCGGAGGTACTCTACTTTGGAGATCTCACTTACAATTAACCTCAGGGCCATTTCGCCGAGAGACGAGCGACGATGGGTCGTCCGACCTGGGAGTGCGTCTTGGCGGTCTTCTGCAGGTCTCTTTTATAGGCTCTAGGGACTCTCCTTGTCTATCTTGTGGTTTCCGCCGCCACGCCCAGAAAAATGCTCTAATTACCTTATACCTTCTCTCTGACCACCCACCGGCCCTATTTGGTTTCCAAGGTCGAAAGCTTCGTGGTGTGCTTTCAATCGGTACCACAGGAATTTTTGCGCCTGAAGCTGCGACAAAAAACGGAAAAAGACGACCAATTTTTCCCCTGCGTCCTTAGACTCTGACATTACACTTACCTTTATGCAACAAATCCTTCGATAACCATCCACCACCTCCTTTACCACCCCCCGAATTTGCAACCCAATTTTCAAGGCTAAACTCATGAACGTACTCATCCTTAACCTCAAAAACTGCACCTGGTCCCAAATTTCACGTCACGAAAACGACTCTGCAAAGTTCAACATCAGACATGAAATAATTAAATAAAATACTAAAATACTATCGTTAGCATACTTAACTTAGAGAAATTAAATTACCTTAAGGCGATATGAAGGGCCAATCGTTAATGAAACTCTCTCAAAAGTGGGTGTGCCAAATCGTCTCACACATTACAACGTGAGTATGGAGAGTAATAAGGTGGGCCCTGACACCCTTGAAATTACATTTTTAATACAAAATAAAGTTAATGTCGATAAGCAAATTTTACAAGAATTAAATTTCATAGGTGTCAAGACCTTCTTTATGTCCTCCATATTCACGTGGCAAAGTTTGAGACAATTTGGCACCCCAGGTTTTGAAAAAAGTGTCGTAAACAATTGGTCCCTCTCCATGTCACTTTTATATCCCCTCAAGACACCTGAATTTTCTTGACTCGTGTTCGAGGTAATTTTTAAAAAACAATGCACCTGCACCCACGCTCCAGGCGTTGGCGCCGCATCAATGGGTGCGGCTTCGGATGTTTGCATCAGCGAAACAAAACGAAATCGACGAGGGCTCCGAAAGGTGCCGGCGGGGTGTACACGCGATCCTCAGTACCGACGTTTCACGATCGATTTCAGTTATCGAGGTTTTCATCCTTCGGCCCTTTCCCGGCGACGAGTTCACCGCAAGGAGCGGTGTTCTGCGCAAACCCGTTACCGAGTGTTAGAGACCGTGTCGAGTTCTTCTGCGGTTTCAAAACTCGCATGATTCACTTCTGCGAAGTTAGATCGCAGTCTGCAAGAGCCACGGTGGTCTCTTTCTCTCCCTGGAGAGAAACAACGCGCGAAATTCCCCCCACTTTCTCCGGCCGATGGCGAGCCTTGCCAAAAGAGCTGCACTGCAATTGTCCTGCACTGGAACCCCATAAGAGTGCGACAGTTTGCGAGAAAAGATCACAAAAAAGGTAGGACAAATTTATCCGACAAATTTTTTTCCATCGAATATGCATACGACATACGTATAATGTACGTACACTGAGAGACATCAATGCCCTCCCATCCTGCACAGGCGATGTCGTATCTGCAGGGGAGGCATTCATGTCCACAATGTACACTGGGAGACATCAATGCCCTCCCATCCTGCACAGGCGATGTCGTATCTGCAGGGGAGGCATTCATGTCCGCTATTGTACATAGAATATAACTTTTTGGATTAGCTTGAGGTTAATCATTTTTAGGGGTAATTAAATCACCATTTTTATTTGTATGCACATTTAGGGGGCGCAGAATGTAACGTAAGCGTGCCGCGGTAATTTTTTGTGTATAATGTAGGTATGGATGTAAAATTCAAATTCTGGAGCTCGCTTGAGATTAATCATTTTTGTTTACACATTTATTTCCATGCGTGTCTAGGCCGTCCAGTATGTAGGTCGGTGCATGTTGCAACGGCTTATTGCAATTTCAGCAACAACGTTGCCGACTTCTTTTTTGCGCCCCAGGCGGACGAACCGTCGCGGTTTCCCGGCGAGGCACGAATCCTCGTAATCCGATAAACCTAATCGATATCGTTGCGCAAATCGCGGCAACGCGTGCAGCTCGTCATCGGCCGTGATCAGGCGTGATCAGGCGTGAGAAGGCGTGAGACTATCGACGCAACAAGCGAAGCGCATCGATGCGCGATGCATCCGTAAGCATCATTGATTTATGCATCGCGGTTGCAGCGATTTCAGATATGATTGCACCTGCAGGTTACGCGCGTTTCCCGCCAGAGAATTAGAAAAAAAAAAAATGCACGGATCATTTATAATTTATTTAAATTTAATTTCGGACGCAAAAAGATGGCCGTAAATTTTCTCGCACATTTTGCGACATCTTTTCGCAGACATCGATTCGATGTGCAATAATGAGGGGACTTATGCAGCGGGCATGCACTTTCCCGTGGGTGGCTCTTGAGAATCACGTGCTGCGCCATTTTTTCTTTTTCTTTTCTGGAAAATGAAAAAGAGTCCGCTAATACGATATGTCGGATTACATCAGACGAAATGTAGGTTAGCCTGCGGTTTTCTCGAGAGGTCAGTACCGATTTACCTAAAGTGATTTTTCACGATTAAAGGACACCGGTCCGCAGGTATTGCACTTGCAACGTGGGCTTCGACTTTTAGATCAGGTCACTGTTATAGATACGCTCTGTGGCCGATACAAAGGTTGCAATGTTCAATTTTACATTTTTCCACCGTTAATCGGGTTAGACTGCGCGATACACGATATCCGACCTATTGCGGAATTAATCCCGTGAATAAGAAACTTCGGGTCCGCCCTCGTTAGATAATCGCACATCATCGGCACAGTAATAGCAAAAAAAAAATATTAAATATCATTCACATATTTATTCAAGAGGAGTGAATCGCATTTATATTTATATTTGAGACGAGTGAACCGCAGAATTAGGGGTAAAAAATGAATTACGACTCTCACTGCTGTCAGAATTTCGATTTCAATCGTAACAACCTAAATATCATTATCTCCAAATTCATCATGAACTACCCATGTGAAACGGTTTACAAAAATTATAAACATTCAGCCAACTGTACTAGATATTTCTTACCGATAGATAATCCGTAGTAGAGGTTGTCAGGTATTATTAAATTTAATATTCGATGTCAATAACGCCGGGAGGGAAAGGAAGGGGAAATCGACGCTCCCTCGGGAGCGCCTCGAGATCTGTCATTTTTTTAGCAGTTTAAAAAACAATGTATTGATCTAGAGTATTTACAGGCGGCCTCACAAGAGCTCGCTCTCCTCCAGGGAAGCTCACCAGTGGGGCTGAGAGCGATATTCGTCGCGAAATTGATAAGATGGTGCCGAAGGCTGATAAGACTGGGCGAGACCGGCGTGGCCTCCGTAACCTCCCTGTGCAACTCCGCCATAGGCATTGGACGCACCCTGGGGGGCGGAATAACCTGAAATATATAGAATTAATTATTAAATAGGCCAATAAAAATTATTTCTTCAGGAAGTACTCGCTTTCAGGGACCGACCTTGACCGGGAGATTGGTACTCTTCGGTCCCGCCGAATTTGTATGCACGAGCTTCAGCATCCGCGAGTTCGGCAAGTCTTGCGGCCTTCAAGGCCGCGACTTCGGGGGTGTCTACGACGGTGCCATCTTCAGCTAAGGGGGCCGGGACGAAGGGGGATTTTGGGCCCTGAGAGACGTAGGTTGTCCTCGGGGTCGGATAACTTCTCTGCTCGTAGCCGTATTGCTGAGGCACAGGTTGCGGATAGTGGCCAGAGTACGACGGGGCAGGTGCAGCTGCAGCGGGGCTGTTGTATGCGAATCCGGCATTGTGACCTTGATAACAGTGAAATTGAATGAATTAATCATTTAAATCTTATATATATATATATGACGTTTCTGGGATATTGAAACTATGCAGCTACTTTTAAGAGATAGTTCTTAAAGGTATTGTATACGAAGGATATTGAAAATATAGCAATAAAAGGTCAAGGTATATAGGATGTGGATGTATTTTTATAAAAAATGTGAAAAAATTCTCTCAGATTTCATTTTTATCAAACTAAGGTATTTTAATGATACACCATTTTTTTTTAAGGATTTCAAGATGAATTTGAGGGTTAATGAAAATTCAGTATATTGGAGTAAGAAGGTGAAGTAGATAGGATGTGGCTGTTTTAATGAGAGATGTGTAAAAAGAGGTACCTTGGGGAACGGCGTGCCCGCCCTGTCTCTGCGCGTTCTCGGCCGCCCGGTTGGCTGCCCGGGCGAACTCGGCGAAGTGGGCGGCCTTCGCCTGGGCCACTTCCGGGGTGTCGATGACGTTCCCGTCCTGGCCCACGGGGGCGGGGGGTGCAAAGCGCGCCGGGGCGGGCCCCACGGGCCCTAGGTACCCGCCGCTGCAGAGGGTGCACAGCGCGCTGAACGCGAGCGCGGCCATCTGTGGACATAGTGCCAAATCGTATAAAAATATTACCGTATATTTCTAACACCTCTAATATTCCTGTACATCTTCATCATTTTACCAGTATTTATATAGTAAATAATCTTGAAACCTTAGAATACCGAGAAGGGAATTTTGGCCCCCATAAAAATTGTACTCTCTTTTTCTAATAAATTCGAAAATCGTTTTGACCTAATACCAGGTAATACGCGTTAGAACTGTACGAGAGAGATTTAAATTCCAAGTTGAAAAACGGAGACTCGAGATGAGAATTCTGAAGAATGGAGAAAGAAAACTTTCGAAACTCTGTATTCGCTCTACTTCTATTAGACTCAAATATATACAGTTCGGTATTGAGTTTCCTATTACAGGAAGAGAAACAATTTTAATGGTACACATTCTGGATTTAATAACTGAGGTGGACACTTTGTTAGATACGTTCACGGTTGCGAAATAGCCCGGTGTAAAGCAATTTGAATGGTCACAGAAAAGTTAGAAATGTCACATAACTTTGTACATTCGAAATACAGAAAAAATGTTGCCAGTCCATATTATGGGTTCAATAACTGAATGGTGGAAATTATGTTGGGTGTGTTCACAATTGCGAAATGGCCTGTAAGAAGGAGCGGGGAGTTCCCTGAAGAGACCCACGTTGAACACCGATACAAACCGTCACATAAAATGTACAAATTTCATACAACTTCGTCCATTGAAATTTCAGGAAAAGATAGAAATTTAAACAGGGCACGTTATGGGTTTAATAACTAAGTTGGGAAGTTTGTTGGACTTTGGGCTCGCGGTTGCGAAGTAGCCTGGGGTTCCCTGAGGAGTCCCACGTGCACTCACCAGACGGTCCATGATGTGGTCGGTCGCGCTGCTGGGTACCGGTACTCGTTGGGTCCGTTCCCTTCGGTCGGCTCGTGGGTTTCGTTTGCGTACCCGGGGTACCCGGGAACTCGCATTTATAGCGGCCTCTTTCCCTGCCGCCCCCGCAGGGGCCGCAGCCGCGCCGCCACCTTTCCCACGCGGGAAAGATCGGCACAATCGGGCGGAATCGGTCGCGCACGAGACCACGCCTCGTCTCGGCCAGACGAAGTGGTCTTTCCGCGACCTTGAGGACCGCCACCGAAGGGGTGGAAGATCACTCCTCCGGTCCCCGAAGAGAAGCCTTTTACGGAAACTCCTCAGGGTTTGGCCATTGTCCCTGACGGGAGCTTTTTGCGTCTTTCGGAGTACCGGCCTCGCCGGTTTCCGATCGTCGCTCAATGCGGACGTCGAACCCCCGGGACTCTTCAAGGCTCATCCGTCACGAGGCAGACGGTGTACCTCGAAAAAGAATGCCTTTTCACGTACACGAAATGTCACCATAAATCGGAGTTTGGAGAGGAATTTCATGGGATTTTTTAAAGTGGACGTCAAATAATTTCACTTGGATTGGGGGTCGAATGTGTACGACTCTTCAGAGTTCATCGATCAAATCGATGCCACGTGGACATCATATTCATAAAAATTCTTTTATACATGCAAATCATAGAAATCTTTATAAAACATAAGATGAGATGTCTCGGAATTTATAAAATGGACTCTACATACAATAACTTGGACTCGGATGACCAACCCCTGCGACTTTTCAAGACTAATCAACTGTCACATGTGCAGATGTATTCAAGAAATTGGATTTTCAGCCGCAAATCTGAGATGTCGTTGTAAAAGAAAGACATCTGCCAGGACGTTGGAATTTATGGTATCTTTAAAGGGGACCCTGAATGACATTATGACACAGTTTCATAAGTGACTGATCGGGAGCGCCGGTGGAATGGAAACCTTGCTACCGGGGACTGGAAATCGATCGGTTTCGGATCAAAATTGACAAATCGAAAGAATGCGATTGGGATATCTTGGCCCTCCTCGAGGCGAAGGTAGACCCTGAAGGGCTCGGGAACACACGTAGAGCCGGTCGTTGACAGTCCTCGGCTGACAGATCGGGAGCACCGATCGAATCGAAAGGAAGGTTGAAGCCAGGCGGATATGGCGGGCAAGAGCGAGAACAAAAGCCCCGACGAGTGCACAAGCCACGTGATATTCTCTCGATCGCCGAGACATTTTCGCTCATGAGAATCGCTCGCGTGCTCCGCCTTGACGGACTCGCGAGATCGGCATTCCGATCGCTGGGCTTCGAATCCCTCCTCTCGATCGATGCCACCCTTCGATCGGCAACCAGAATTTATTTTTAAGAATAATTACTAAAAATGACAACAATTCGATCGCCAGACTTCAGATCCCTCCTCCCGATCGGTGCCATACCCCTATTGGAAATTAGGAATCATTTATAAGAATTATTAATCATATAATAATTCGATCGCTATACCTCGTATTCCTTCTCCCCCCGATTATGAAACCAAAAATCATTCTCAAAAATTGCATAGAATGATATACTAAAAAATTGCACAAGTCGTAAAGTTGTCTGTAGTCATATCATACCTTTGGCAATCGGTTTGGCATTACTGTCCAGCCCGAAAAAGCTCATTCTACGGTACCAAGAAAAAAGTTCTAAATTGTCCGAAATGACCCTACGAATTTTTCTGCACATTAGGTTTCATGATCTCAGGGTTACTTGATAATACCAGAAAAAAGGATACCAAAGAACTGACACTGTAAAATTTGTCGGAGTATTTGCCTTGAGATTTCAAGGCCCTGCCGCGGTACCAGGGAAAGAAAGTCAATGAAAACGCGGTTTACATTTTTTATTTCATCGAGATCGACATTATCAAGGTCAGGTTTTTTTTTCAGGATCCTCGGTCCTCGTTTGGAATTAATTAAAAAAAAAGAAAAAAAATCGGACGCGTGACTTTTAATTTGAATTTAAATATCGGTGATTCGAAATTGAAGCGTGCCTCGGGAATGGTTTGCGCCATTACCCGACGAAATTCGCAAAATTTAGTATGTAATTACAAGGTACACACGGCCAATGAGGCAAATGGGCTGAGAAACCGGCAATTTCGACAGAATCCGGTAAACGCCGGTAGAATTACCAGAAAAACCGAGCAAAGACCCGGGAACTGATTATCTGCGTGAAGTAAGCGCGGTCAAATTATTGCGAGCGCCATTTTATTCTTTACGCCGTGAATGCAGGAACCGCTTGTAATTCCCTTCGCGTAAGTAACTCGCCTTTCTTACTGTGTTTACGATTACATCGTATATCGTGGTGCACGGTGCCGTTGAAGTAACCGAGCCTCGGACCCTGCTGACGATAATTAGGACACTAGGATTCAGCCTCTCATGGCGCAACTTGCAAATATTAGGAAAATGGTCTGAAGGTTACGCGAGTAATAACTCCTCGGGCATTGTTTTCTCGGTTGGAAAATAAATAAAATCCCGGCCAGTTTCCATTCTCTGCAATTCGATGCCCTGCTCGGGGAGTGGTTCCTGCTTCGACGAGGCCATAAGAATTTAAATGAGCATAAATATTAAGGAAATTCGGAGATCGGTTTACGAAGCGATGGAAACTCCCGGAAGAGAATTCAATTCTAGACTTTATGCATATTTAACGCGTTTAAAAAATATACGCTCTCTTATTTTTTTTTCTTTCATGATTTCTTCGAAAAGGATGTTACAATGTAAAATGTCGACCGCTTCGATGGCTTTATCGGAATATTCAATGCTTAATTAAGGTTTCCAAAAATAATAATTAGCCCAATTTTCGGCGCTTTCTTAAGGTGATGTGAAAGTGGCGTCTCGTTTATGAAACTTTTCTCCGAAATGGGTGTACCGAATCGTTTCGAACTTTACAACGTGAATGTGGAGGCTATAAAGAAGGTCTTCACGACCATCAAATTTCAATTTCATTCAAATTAATTTAGATATTTATCATACTTTTTCTGAAATATGAAATTTCATGGGCGTCAGGACCTTCCTTATTGACCTTCACATTCGCTTTATAAAGTTCGAAACCATTCAGTATACTCTGTCCTGAAAAGAGGGTCATGAACAATTAACCCCTCAGATGTCACTTTCACACCCCCTCAACCCATTTGCATAATAAGGAAGTATGAAAAAGAGGGTCCTCATCACGAAATATCAGGCTGAATGATAGTGGCCAGGAAAATTGAGCATATATATACGCTAATGATGCAAATGGGTTAAGCTGGAAAATATTTACAATGAGAAGATACTTGGCCGCACCTCCGATCAGGGATCAGTAATTGTAGGCATCATCGAAGGATTATTTACCACCTAGCACTTTAAAAAAGAAAGATCATCCCATTTTCTCAGTTTCTTTTAAATGGAATTTATATTCACAATGGAAAGAGGCTTGGCCGCGCCTCCACCTGAATAATGATTAGGGATCATTATTGAGGAATAATCGCCTTTCCAACAATGAAAGGATTCGGCCCGACGGAAGGGTCGATATTTCGCGATCGAGCATGCTATTCGAATCGATCCTACCCATCGATCTCATGGATTTCATCCTCGATCGCGATCGAGCTCCAGATCCCCACGCCCAGAATCCTGGCCGACCTTTCCTTCGTTGAAACGCGAGCCGCTAATGCAGGTCTCGGTGCATCGATCGGGCCGATCGGATCGATTGGATCGATCGGTCGGGTCGGGACGATAATCGTTCGCGCTCGCCTTGCGACAAATCGCTCCCGACACTGTGAAACTCAGGACTACCGGTCGCAGACCGGTGGCAAACATTGCGAGAAAAATCTCCCCGCGGAACTTCGCTGACCTGATTTATCGATACCCATCGACCTTAGATGATCGATACGCCCTGGAATTCGATAATACCGGTGAATACAGGAATCGCGTTCCCTGCAATCCTGTATTTACCCACCGATCACGTGCACGGCCGTGATAAGCGAAAAGGTCGCAGCTGCTTTCTAGTTCTTTTGCCGGGTCCGCATTAATAGAGCATGCCGCGGAAAAAGTATGCGGAAAGTTATTCCGCGTGTCGCTACCTGCGGATTATTTCATAACTAGGGTTTCTCTACGCAGAAAGTGCTGCACTTCTTCGCCCTTGCAGTTTTGGATCTGCATCTTTTGATGACTTAAAGAATTATTTACCATTCAAAGTCAGTCGCGTGTCGCTGCGAGTGCATTTCGGCCGAAGTATTGCACTTTTCTCCCTTGCACTCCCAGCTGCAACACCTGGTGATTTAAATCATTCTTAATAATTGAACATTTATTCCACGTGTCGCTGATGTGATGATATGCATTCCGTCAGAAATGTTCCTCGGTGCAGAAGGTACTGCATTTCTAGGGACGCCATTTCCCGATGATTCGAGTAATTCTTCAGATTTCTTTTTATTATCCGCTTGTCATGCAGCTATTCATGCGCCCAGATAATGATGCACGTCCATCCGCACCTTCTTTTAATGATTTAAAAAATTCTCAGAGATTAAAAATGATTCCACCGAGTACCTGCAAGAGTGCATCTCGTTAGAAGTGTTCCTCGGTGCAGAAAGTACCGCCCTCGTAATCTGATGACTTATGAAACTTTGATAAATTCTGTAAGAATTTCGCAAAGCCATTTTGGCCGTTTTTTATTAGATGTGGTCGTTACTGCAGATGTTGGCCACGTAGTTTTTGGAGATTGCGGGGTTCTGGAGCTTCGATTTAGTGGATTGCGAGTTGCGCCGACCTGGGGGGCGCAAAACCTCCCAGAATGCTGGACCGGTCGCGTGTGAGCAGAGATAGAAAGTCCAGGTTTTTCATCATTTTCAGATCGAACGGCTGTTGGCAGAAAAACCTCGACTTGCGTCACTGCCATCGAAAGCGACGAGAGGTGGATTAACATTGAACGATGGCGGTCCGCGACAAAAGGAAGAGCCGAAATCCCGAAAAAACGAAAAATTCCCATTCCAATTAACCAAAACGATAATTAATTTCCAGAGTTGATCGCACTATCAGGATTTTTATAAGTAAATAACTTCCACGGAAGCATCTCATAAGAATCAAGGCCCGTCGAGCCGACTTGCCAGATTAACATGAATTGAATTAATTAGAAAGTAAGGAGGTCGTTCTTTATTAAATTTAATCTACACTTTTTACATCGATTATTTACTTTCAAGGGTGCTATGTGGCGACCAAAAAACCGCGAGTGGAGGTGTCGGCATAATCGATTACGTTTTCTCGCGAGACGCATGTCGCATGTGTGTTATGCATTTACAATGCACTCTCGGTGTGCTTTATGTTTCTTCCGCCAGTATTTGCGGGTAGCAAGAAAACCTGGGAAAACGATCGGCAGGAAAAGCCCGGGGAAAGGAGAAACATGCGAACGTGGGAGAAGAAAAGGCAACGATTACCGGGTGTCGACAAAATAAAGGCCAGCTAACCCGATCGATCGGCCATCGATCGTAACGCTCGACGATTCGAGATTCAAGTTACGTCAATTTCGTCGAGTTGCATGCGTAATCCATCTAGCGCATTCCTCCTTGTCCGCAAACTGTCGAAATCGGCGACCGACGATTTCTCGAGCAATAGATTAGACATTTTCAAGATGCCCCAATTTCCGATGATCGATCTTAAGACTCGAAGGTCTGCTAGCTTACCGCCGCTATCCGAGATTTAATAATCCCTGACCCTTCGAAATTTAGGACAGCAATTACCCACAATAAGGAGGCTCGTTAAACATCCACGATGCCGCAGAAATAAGCTGAAATTAAGCCGTCCGTTAAAAGTTCAAGAGTAATTCCTCCCAATTAAAAAGAAATAATTAAATCGGATGAAATGCCTTTTCTTTTCCATCTCCAAGCCGCAGGCCACAAATCTCACCCACGCACATCAGCTCTACACCCGAAGGTCTAATTATTTCCCTCCACCGCCTCTGCTTTAATAATCCCCATATCTTCGAAACCTCGAAGTGCAATTGGCTCACCGACAGCAAGATTCCCCAGAACTAAGTGCATTAAGCCGTCTCCCTCAGCTCCTGGAGCACATTAATACTACAAAATACGTTCCTGGGATAAGATTAAACCTCGTTGCATCGTATGCATCCTGCACCTTGTGAACACCTCTCGCTCCGGGGGCGATGGATGCAACCCGGGGCGATAAACTCTGCCTATCGACTCATTAAGTAAGCAGTATCCTTTTAATAAGTGCGTTGTAAATTCCAGCCGGCGATCGGGTGCATCTTTGATCCCAGCATCCTGCAGCAGGATGCACCGGGGGCGATGCACGCTGCGCCGGTCACTGACAGCACGCTGCATGCAACATGCAACAGGAAGCAATGAGCAGCATGCGGCGCACTGCATACTGCATGCTGCACCCTGCACGTCGCACGCTGCACGCTGTATACTGCCGACGTGGTGCATACTGCAGCGTGCAGCGTGCACCACGTCGGTCGTTCCAAGGAGCCGACGACCGGTCTGGTTTCTGGCCTCGACCTTGGGTGTATAACCAGTTCTGCGGATTCCACAGGTCCTCCTTCGTCTTGCTGCATAGCGAATTCGCGAGGGCGCGAGGGAGCACCCGTGTGCATACAGGTGTGCACCTGCACCCGAGTGCAGGGCTGGGCGTGGTCCAGGGCGCGTATATAAGGGCGCGTCGACGGTGCCATCGGAAGACGCTAAGCGGATAACTACGAAGATGGCATCGCGAGTAAGCACCCCCGTGGACATGATATACTGTTCAAAATATTAAGAAAACACGTGGCATTGAACCTTCTCAGAAAATATACATATATACCGTGAAAATATTCAGAAGACCAGTACCGTTGAAACATTAAAATAAAAAAAATAAAAAACGCATGCCATTGGAAATAATCTCGAGAGTGAATTAGAGCACGTACAATAATTTTTATAAATGAATCTATTAATTAAAATGAACTCCATAACATTGGGCTACCGATAATCCCGCGGAATTGTGCAGGGAAATTAAGAGATATATCTTAAATCTAAATATAAATCATTTTTCTGGAGGTATATTTTAAGACTATATTTTTTATCAACAGTGGCGACATTTCTCTTCCTAAAAAAGAATATAGAATGGGGTATTAGTTCATGTTAAGGGGATCTTAGATTGAAATGAATTCGCGGAAGTGGAGACAGGTGATGTCGAGTGATTTTCTTTTCAGGTGGTGGTCTCGATTGCAGTGCTGTTCATGTCGATTTCGAGGGGGTCTGGAAAGCCTACCGAGGTCTATCTGGGTTATCAGGACAGCCTCGGCCAGTACAGTTTTGGATACAGTACGCCCTTATCAGCGCGCTCCGAAATCCGAACAGCTGACGGAGCCACCAGGGGGTACTACAGCTACGTAGATGCAGACGGGCGCATCCAGAGTGCAGAATACACGGCGGATGCAAATTATGGGTTTAGAATCGCCGCCACAAATCTTCCTCAAGCTCCACTTCCGGTCGAGGAGACGGCGGAAGTTGCGGCCGCTCGCGCTGCTCACCTGAGGGCGGTCGAAATGGCGGAAAAGAGGGCGGCTCAGGAGGCACAGGTGAAATTAAAGAATTTAAAAGTTACGCGATATCAATAGTCACGTGATACCATGTGATGTTACGTGACGGTAATCATTGCATGATAAAATATAGGTAGAGCGAGAAGATCAATTCTTTTACTTACTGTACCGCACTTTGGTACATTCTCCCTGGGTACCAAAATGGCGGCGCGCGGAGAACGCGCGTATAATGCAGTTTTAGAAGGGGTCTGTGTTAAAGGTTCTTAGATCTATTTTTTTTTTTTAACTACTTCCTAATGGCTCTTTCCCTCGGGAACGGGTGCCGGGTTTCGAAATCCTACGGTCTGTCTTTAGTTGCAGGTTGCTGGAGAGAAAGTAGCGCCAGGTAGATTTCGGTACCTCGGGATATGCGCTATCTTGTCCATTACGAATGGTTGTCATGTGGCGTAAGATGGCTTTGTAATGTTAATGTTATGTGACTCGAAAAAAAGGGATTCTAAGTGGAAGGCGTATCGAAGTCGCAGGTTGATAGTCTGCGGTCGGCTTATGTCGTACGCAGTGGAGTGAAAAACCGGAGGAACTTTCGGAATTTTTCGGACTTTCTATGGAAATTAATGTCCGCTCTGGTAGTTCAATATTTTTGGATCTAGTTTCAGATGCAACCAGGGTCTGTGAAGGATGAAGAAATCCAGGCCGAGGCCGGCATCAGGAACGAAGAGGAAGAACTGCGGCCTTTCGGCGCCCTCGCGCTTTCTCAGCCCGGTAAAGTTCCGCCATTTTGGTGAAACCGAATTTTCACTATATCCTTTCTAATGTTACAAAATCATCCTATACTCAGTGTTCGTTCATTTTCCCTGACAGAAAACTTGATAAAGTGCACGCAGAAAAATGTTCCACATACGTAACACAAAATTTTACTTACTTCAGCAAATATGTAAACACTGGAAAGAGTTCCAGCGGCATCTTTTTGCAGCTTTGTTTTCGCTGAATGGACATCAGGAAAACTATCATTTTATCATGGGGTAACACAAGTTACATTCGTGGTTGCGTTTTTTTTTTTTTAATCTAGCGACAACAAACAATATCCCTCGTTCGGTCAAAATTATTTTTCCTTTTCGCGTGCATTTTCGAAAAGTTCGATATTCTTCGAGGAAGGGAAGAAAAAGTCTTCATCCGTCCTGAAGGAATAAGTCTGCACAAGATGGAGCCGGTTCTACTTCTCGTTGTCTCGAACCGACCACTTTTTGTCGACTTGCTCTTAACCCTTTCGTTTTTCCGCAGTGATCACACCGGCAGGAACGATCTTGAAGGTGAACGATCATCGTCAAGAGAATCGACCAGGCCGTATCGGTCCTATCGGGCCGCAATCCTTATCAGCAAGTGCCCGTCGAGGCGGCATTTTCGGGCCTGTTATCGGACTCACCCCAGTCTCGTATGGACCGACATTTTCCACCTTTCTGATCTATCTTCGCACCCCATCCGCCTTCACCCCCACCGGACATCCCCGATCATAGAAGCCAATAACATTTTCACAAACCTTTCATTGCTACGATAAATAAAAATAATTATTTAGCGTCTAATCATTTCATATACTGTATATTTAGCTGGATAAAAATCGCCTTTCTGTCTGGAAAGACGGATCGCACATGCAGAAAAAAAATTATGTTCAAACCAAATATTTTCCTGCGTGCATATAGCGCGATGGGTAATATTATAGGTAGATGCCAAATATCCCGAATTCCTGTGGGATTAATTTTTTGTACTTTTCTCCTTTATTAAGTCGAAAAATTTAAGCCTGCCAGATATACCGATGAGTTACTTTCTTGGGCTTTAAATCTAGACACTGTGCTTTCTGGAGGACCGTGAGTCTCGTGGTAAAGAGTCGACCTGTACATCGTGAACTTAGAGCTCGAATTTAATAATTGCTACACTTGAGACTGCATTTTCGTGGATGGTCTCCTGGCTTTCGGTTTGGATTTCTCGTTTTATATTTTTTTTCCATTTTTTTTTCTCTTTCTAACATTCGCGGCCATTTTTCTCGACAACCACCGCGAAGAGGTCGTCCTCTCGGTCGCTTTTATCAGTACCTTCCTTTATTTTTCTTTACAAAATAATGCGGCGCTCGATGGACAAAAAGGAGGATGTATGCTCGGTACGATAATGCATATAATGGTAGTCTTGTATAATAATCTATAATGATAATCGTGATGCGAGTAGCTACGGTACCGCCTAAGACCTACGGACAATTCTATCCGACAAACCGACGTGGAATCGTAAACGTGCACGCGACGTAACACGGATTATCGATAAATAGGAGGTAATCGGTCACTAATTTCTGTTCTCCCCGAAGTACTTGCATATCCGCACGCACCTCGCACACATATATAATAATAATATATTAATATAACCTACCCGGAAGCTGTGGCTCCCCGACCGCAAAAATATTCATTTAATATGGCCGCCCTGACTCCGGACGACGCAGCGGCACTTCCGACGAGAATGACCGTTTTCCGCCGCAACGATAAGAGCGACCGAGAAGTGTCTTCTACAAAAGTTGTGCACAAAGATCCCAGGAACAATTTTTGCAGAAGACATTTCTCCATACGACGTGCCGGTGAGGCGGAAACCACCGCTCCTTTGTCATGGTCGCAAGTGCAGTTGCGATGCATTCGATTTTTACAGCAGCACTGTTCCCCGTGTTCAGCCCTGTAGTTGACACCAGAAGGGGTGGAATTGACAAAACGCGAGAAGGACATCGCACCTGCAGGATGCAGGACCTTCGAGATATCCTCTGGATACCGCAAGAATTATTTTATTAACGCGAACCTTGTAGGCGTCCTCGGCGCCGCTTAAGTACTCGACAAGGTGTCCCGAACGGGACGATAATGCAACTGCAATTCCTTGGACAGTTGGTCTAAACCTTGGCCTGTCAGAAATTCGTCTATCGCGACATTAACCCGGTAAAAAGAGCGAAAGAGTCGCCGATTGCCAGTCGTGCGCGACAGGTAACAGGTACATGCCCCGTGTTAAGCGAAAACCCGTAACCCCGCACTTCGCCGGGATAAAATGCAATTTCCTGCCTCGGCGGTGCGTGCCACCGAAAAATGCCCTATATAAAAAATCTTCCGCATATCACTGCGAGCAATGTTTCCCTCAGGCTTTTTCCTCTACTTTTTGTCGTTCTCCGTCTAAGCCGACGTTTTCCCCGGCCCTCCTCCTCCTGGCGCCCGTGCGGCGCCGTTATTTGTTTAATATTTCCGACATTAGTCAATCAAACCGCGTTGATTACGGCTCGTTTCGACGACCCTTGAAACGGAAACTTGCAATTACGGTAAACGGGGCAGTTACCTATGTGTTAACACGGCTATAGAACGGATCGCAAAAATTGGAAGTCCGAGCGAGTAATACTGACAAATTGCTGCTTAAGTCGACAACACTCTAATAATGATATCGCAACAACAACAACTACAACAACAACAATCATAATGACGGCGATGACGGTGACGACGATCACGTCGACGACCACGAGAGTGATGCACCCCAGGTGCATCGTAATGCATCCTCTCTCCCTTCCACGGAAAATTCACCTAAGCGTACTTTTGACGATACAGAATTTCAATGCGAGATATGTATAGTTCGGATTATTATTTAATTTAAAAATATATCTCAACGCATACGTATCTGTATATGTGTTCTGCATATGTATACACACAGACGTACGTTCTATCCAGGCCTCGTGATAGCGAGCCGTCTTTTCTTTTTTTCATATTTTTTCCTCATCCCCGAAATTTTTTTAGTACGTGATTCGCCGGTCTTGAGAGGGTTTGAAAGTGACTTTTTATGAGAACTTGATACTTTAATTCCCCCAATTTTTTTCTAAGTCATTAATGCGCCCTTCGACCTGAGAAATTGCCTAACATAGAAAATTACAGGCATTCGTCAAAAAAAAAAAAAATACAATGTTGGCTAATTGAAATATTTTTCTCTAGCTATGATTAATATAGGGGAATATCTTCAGTCATTATTTCAACGTGCAGAAATATTCGACTCGGTAAAAAGTCACCTTCGACCTCGCTCGAAATTGAGAACTGAACGAGCGGTGTCCACACCGAGGAAAAAATTTCATTGAAACAAAGAAATATATTCTTGAAGAGTACCATAGAAATGTTTCGTTAATTCAAGGAATAATCGTTAGTCTCGAATAAACTCGAATAAATGGGATGCGACGCTTCATCGGAATGATGACAATTTATTTGAGTTTATTCCAGTCAAATAATTACCCTCCGAGTTAACAATTTCCTTGGTTCAATGTAGATTTTTTTTATTCGGTGCATTGACGTCATTGCGATCACCGAAGGCGTGGTTCGAGTTTCCGGACGACTTTGCCCGAAATTTCTCTTATTTCGACTCAAAATCAATTTCCGCAAACGTCCCAGACTTCGGATGCACCCTCGAAATGCGTCTGCAAGGGAGAAGTGCGAAAACGCATCATAAGCTGGTAAACCTCGACAAAAGTGGGAGCTTGCAGTCGTGGCGGATGCAGAAACGGAATCAGAAGAATTGGAAGAAAATCGCCGACGATTTTTCGCAGTCAGGAAATGAGAGGAAAAAAATAAATGCGGAATTCCTCGGCGCAGTTTCTGACGAAATTGCGTATGAATGCGAGCATTGGCTCGGTACACGTGCGAGAAATGTGTACACGCACCACGCGTGTAAGCCAAGGGCAGAGTGCAAGGAGAAAATGGAATGCACCGAAGAGAAAGTCTACGGGGACATAGTGCCCCCGAGAGGAAGAGAGAAGGAAGTATACGGGTCACGAGTGTTAGAGAGAGAAAGAAACAGAGAGAAGTAGAAGGTCCAGGCATTAATGAGAAGTAAATAGGAGGAGGGTGGGGACCAGCAGGATATTTATACATCTTAACCCCTCCGTGTCCAGAATCGTATCCTAGATCACGCATAAACGTTTCTCCAATTTCCCTGGAACTTTTCTGGAACCGAAAAAAAAAGGAAGAAGAAGAAGAAACAGTATACACAAAAGATCAATTCTTAAACCAGGGAGTGTCATTATCCTCCTCCGCGTATATCACAGGTTCCAAGTAATCTCAAACCAAAGTAGAAACTTGTCAATATGTATTATTATTAAATCCCATACATTACCGTGAACCAGAGAGAGGCGACTTCCAAGGGACCCCATCAGCATCTCCTCTTTTGCTCGGCGGTGGATTCTTGAAAGGGACGAAAATCTGGCAATTGGGACGTACAAACTAAAGCGACATGACAGCGAGGAAAGATTGAAATTTCTTTTCAAGTTATAGCGATGGTCTTCGTCCGTCAAATTTTGAAAAGTCAAGCTCGAAGAGAATATCGTTAAGGTGATATGAAAGGTTCCTTCCATATATATATCAAAACGTCAAAGTATTTATGAAACTTTTCTCCAAATGCACCGAATCATTTAAAACGGCAGCACGTGATTATTAAGTCAATCCCAGACTAGAACTAAGGACGCATTTTTTTTTTTTTTTTCATGAAATTCATTTCACATAATTTCATTAATTTACATACAATTCATTTTTCAAAAATAAGTGTCTGATTTTTGTCGGGGATAAATAAAACATTTTTTGCATAGCGTTCTTCCTTAGAGCCCTCATAACCATTTGCTGAAATTTCAAACGATTCGATGCACCCAGTTTGGAGAAAAGTTATATAAATGTTTTGACGTTTCGTATGTATAGAATGACGCTTTCATATCACCTTAAAGGTGGGAGGAATTGATTTTTAAGAATCG